TCTCTCTCTCTCTCTCTCTCTCTCTCTCTCTCTCTCTCTCTCTCTCATTCAGTGTAAAGTGACTTGCCCAGGATAACTCAGCTAGTGTCTTAGATTAAATTTGAGCTCAGGTCCTCCTTACTCCAGGGCTGGTGTTCTATCTACTTCACCACCTACCTGCCCCTCAGTGCCTTGTCTCTTGAGAATGACTTCTCATACCAGGAGTAAGGAAGTGTGTGTGTACTTAAAGCAACTTATCTGAAGATGTAACTCTACTGCTACCTGACTCCTGGGGAAGGAAGTAGGAAAATAAGGGAAGCGGTTACTTTCTAATACTGTATTGCTGGGAAGAAATTCTAAGGATTTAGATGATGGACAGCCTGAGTGACAGCAAAGATTAGAAGAGCCCACAGACTTATAGAATCTTAGAACTTGGAAGTCATCTATTCGAATTCTGCCCCTGGTCCTCACTATTTTACAGATGAGGAAACTAAGATCCATGTATTTATTCAGTGAACATTTATTAAGTGTTCGACAGGCAGTGCATTTTAGGCACTGGGAGGGCTACCAAAAGAAGTTAGACACGGCCCCCTTGTTTCAGGGCACTTAGGTGATATGAGATATATATACACAGACAAATATAATACATATTAGGACAATGTAAGTATGGAGAAATCACTTCCATTCAGAGGAATGAGGGAAGGTTTCACCAAAGCCTACAGAGGTGATGAGAGGTTGTATGGGAAGTTAGGTGCAAAGTTAAATCAGAACTCGGGCATCCTGAATCTCAGTTCAGCGTTCTCTCCACATATCCTTTACTGGTCAACTCCTCCTCCTCCTCTGCTTTGAAGGACTAAGATGAGCAAGAGGAAGTAGTCTGGCACTGTGAAAAGAGCACCATCTCTGGAGTCAGAGGACCTGGGTTCAAATCCACCTCCTGATGCTTACCATGTGACCTTGAGCAAATCACTTAACAGCCCTGGGACTCAGTTCCCCTACTTGTAAAATGATGGGGTTGAACCTGATGGTCTCAGAGGTTCCTTCAGCTCTGGAGCTATGATCCTATGATCTCAAATATTTGCTGTATTGTGTAAAGGTGTAAACTAACATACGTCATTATCTTCCCTGTTTCCTCCTAGGGGCTATATCAGAATGGAACCCTTCCACCTGACAACCTGGAGGAGCTGCAGCAGGCTTCTCTCTTATATATCTCCCCTATTGATCCAGCATATTGGTTTGGGGGACTAAGAAAATGTGACGCCCAAGTGTTACCTTGCCTGAAGGTAAGTGGAAAACTGTCCAGTGGATAGGCCTAAAAAAATAACACTCTGGAGTTCTTCTTCCTCTTCTTTTTCTCCTTCCTCTTCTCCTCTTCCTCCTCCTCCTCCTTCTCCTTCTCCTTCTCCTTCTCCTTCTCCTTCTCCTTCTCCTTCTCCTCCTCCTTCTCCTTCTCCTTCTCCTTCTCCTCCTCCTTCTCCTCCTCCTTCTCCTCCTCCTCCTCCTCCTCCTCCTCCTCCTCCTCCTCCTCCTCCTTCTCCTTCTCCTTCTCCTTTTCCTTCTTCTTCTTCTTCTCCTTCTTCTTCTCCTTCTCCTTCTTCTTCTCCTCTTCCTCCTCCTTCTCCTTCTCCTTTTCCTTCTTCTTCTTCTTCTCCTCCTCCTCCTCCTCCTTTTTCTCCTTTTCCTTCTTCTTCTTCTTCTTCTTCTCCTCCTCATTTTCCTTCTTCTTCTCCTTCTCCTCCTTCTCCTTCTCCTTCTTCTTCTCCTTCTTCTCCTCTTTCTCCTCCTCTTTCTTCTTCTCCTCTCACCTCCCTCTTCCTCTCACCTCCCTCTTCTTCTTCCTCTCTCTTCAGTCTACCTATCTTGCCAGGTTGGAAATTCAGCAGCCACTCAATCAGACTTACTCCCACCGATGATCAGATCTGGGCAGATTTATCTCTCTTTAACCAGCCTGTGGTCCCTCCCACCTGAGGGTTCACCATATTGATGTGGGACTTAGTGCAGACACCTAAACAGCTTTAGCCCACTTTAGCTCTGAGTTCCCAAGCTCAAACAATCCACCATTCTCAGACGTAGATTTATAGGTATATGCCACAATTCCTGGTAGCTCTATGGGACATGCTATATAATCAGAAGAAAAAACCTGGGGAGAGCTTCAAGCTGACCTTAGAAGTCAGTCTGTCAATGAGAAATTCATTAAGTGCCTTCTATAAGCCAGGCACTGTGCTGAACACTGAGGATAGAAAGAAAGGCAAAAGCAATCCCTGCCCTCAGAGAGCTCATGTTATAATCACGAAGACAACATGTAAATAACTAGATATACAAGATATATACAAAGTAGATGGAAGATGTTTGTGTTTCAGTCATATTCAACTCTTTGTGACTCCACTTGGGCGTTTCTTAGCAAAGATGCTAGCGTGGTTTGCCATTTCCTTCTCCAGTTCATTTTACAGATGAGGAAACTAAGGCAAATAGGGTTAAGTAACTTGTCCAGGGTCACACAACTAGTGTCTGAGGCTGGATTTGAACTCAGGAACTTGAGTCTTCCTGACTCCAAGCCGGCACACTGTCCATTGTACCACCTAGCTGCCCTGTAATCTCATCTCCCCCTCTCACTACCCCTAAGGAAAATGAGGCCCAGAGAAAAAAAGTGACATGCCCAATGTCACACCTGCTGACCTCTGGTATTCCAACTGCAAATTCGGGTCTCCTTTCATTGCAGCAAACTTCCTCTTATTCCCTGTCTCTGTTTTGCCCTCAGCAGTTTCAGCCGCAGACAGGGAAACTAAGAATAGATAGGGAGTCCGCAGACCCTAACACCGGTTTATTAGTTAAAGCCAGAAAAAAAAAAGGAACTTGGACTGGGTTCTAAGTAAAAAGTCTCAGGCCCCAATAGAGCACTGTTTAATTTCAGGATCCCAGACTGGAAACTTACAAAATGGGCAATCCAAAGACCCCCAAGCACCTATGAGCAGAGAAAGAGCTTGTTTAGTTCCCATCTCCTTATCTGCAGATGAGAAGATACATTTCAAAGATTTTTCAGGGCAATTGAAGGTTAATCTAAGCAAGGTATATCTGTAAGATTTATGGCTGGCGAAGAAGTGGATCTGGGCTGCAGTTCTGCTTTCAGTCTGTTTCAGATGATGGGTAACACTCTTGGATGTCTTGAGCTTTGCAAAAAGCATAATTCTTTATCTTAAAGAGCTAGTTCTTATTTTGAAATTGCTCTGGAATGACTGGCTCATGGGTAGCATAGTTAAGGGGAAATTATCTAATAAGAGAAACCTTTTCATGTCCATGTCCTATATCTGTTGGGAAAATGAAGGATATTTATAATTCACAATTAAACTTGGAGAGCATTTGTTTTTCATTATTCACCAGTTAATATCTGGGGGGGGGGAATCTGATGCTTTTATGCTATACAACCTCCTCTTGTATAGGAAAGAAAAGAGATATTTATGGCTGATCCGAAGTGGTGACATCTCTTAATTGAATATATTTTTAAATGCGTCAGTCTATTTTTGCAACAAAATTCTTTACAACTGGAGCAGCTAAGTGGTGCAGTGGATAAAGCTCCAGTCTTGGAGTCAGGAGGACCTGAGTTCAAATGCGGCCTCAGACACTTGACACCTACTAGCTGTGTGACCTTGGGCAAGTCACTTAAACCTGATTGCCTCACCAAAAAGCAAAAAAAAAAATTCATTACAACAATAACCAGCAGTATTATCGAAAGCCCAAATAACTGGAATGAGGAATTCTTAGACCAGACACAAGTTCACTAAGGGGGGAGGTAAAGGATGAAGATGGTAGCACAAGAGGATGGTGATATTTTCCTAGATGGGTCAGACCCCAAATGGAGTTGGTGAGGAGAAGGCAGACTCTGAGAAATCAGGAGCAGAGTGGTAGGTTCATTGGGGAGTGTCTTAGGAGTGGTCACACCTCACAACTGTGAGGTAGTTACTATAGGGCAGGAAGCATACTTCTCAGGAGATGGTGAAATACACTCCTCCACCCTGAGGCAAAGCCCTCATTGCCCCAAGCTAGTTATGACTCTGAAAGCCAGATACATGCTTGGTGTTGCATGGAACATAAAATTGGGCATAGACTCTGAATTGAGATGGTGACTTAAGAATTATAAAATATAATCAAGCAAAGTGGGGGAATCAATTATCATTAGTTTAAAAACTTTTTGGCTTGTCAGTAGTCATAATTTTACTAAGTATTTTCCCCTAGATCAATTAGAAGATGGATAGATTAGTCACTAGAGAATGTTTCTGTCATTGAAAATGTTCAGAACTTCCTTGGCTTCCTGATAGCCCAGTGTTTGAAACATTCACTTTCCCTTGCAAGTACTGGTCACAAAAAATGAATATTTTAATAGTGTTTTATTTTTTCCAATTACATGTAAAGACAAATTTTAACATTCCTTTTTAAAAAAATTTTGAGTTCCAAATTTTCTCCCTCCCTCCCTCACTTCCTCATCCCTAAGATGGTAAGCAGTTTGATGTAGGTTGTATGTGTGCAATCATGTAAAACATAAAAAAGGAATGTTTTCCTTCGAAAATATGCTCTTGAGCTAAAGTGATGTGAGACGAACTATTTTATTCCTGTAACTGGTGTGGAGGCTGAGGGTGACTTTCAGGTTTTTTGTTTAGTTAGCTAAGCAATGGTGAACAAAAGTAAAGGGTTCTTGCTAACACCCAGTTCCCCATCACTCTGACTTTACAGAATCATCTCACCATCTTGGCACTAATGGCAACTGAGGCCACTGTATACAGGCACCAGAAATTCTACCGGCACTGCAATCAGCTGAAACAACCCTTGCTGGGCAGCATTTTTGATGGTGTCACTAGAAAGCACCTGGATGATGGGTTACTGAGCTCAGTCAAATATTTCATCAACTATGGTTTCTATAAGTTCGGGCTAGAGGTGAGACACCCTCTTCTTATCCCCATTCTTGCCTGGAGCATTAACATAGAGCTTAAGAAGCAGAGGAAACCTTAGGAGTCATCTAATTCAGGATTGTTTGTATCTTGGACCGTTTTGTTAGTCTGGTGAAGTCTATGGACTCCTTCTCAGAGTTTTTAAATGTTTTTAAATGTATAAAATAAAATACAAAGGATTACAAAGGAATACAATTATGTAGAGATATAATTATCAATTATTTTTTAAAAAGCAAGTTCCTGGAAGCCACATTAAGAGTCCTTGAGCTAGCCTAGCCCCCTCATTTTACTGACAGAGAGACCGAGACCTAGAGAGTTAAATGATATGCTCAAGGCCACATAGGTATTAAACAGCAGAGCCAGGATTACATTCCACCTGCATAAGGCCGCCTCTCCTTCTGAATCTCTGGCATGAATGACTAGGACTGTGGCAGAACTAGAGGCCAGTTTGCCTCCTAAATATATAAATTACGCTTAGAGAAATTTGCTATTTCAGGCAGTACCTAATCCACTAACTCCTGTTGTCTCTTCATTAACCCTAAGAAATTAAATTCAGTTCTGTTGGTAGAGTAGATAGGGATAATAGAATTAGAGTCAGGAAGACATAGGTCTAAATTCTGCCCAGACACTTACAAGCTATGCAAGCCTGGGGAAGTCTCTCCTAACCTTCAGATTCACATCTCCAGTTGCCTTTTAGTGATCTCAAGTTGAACGTTTCTTAGACGTCTTAAATTCCCTACGTCCAAAAGTGAACTTGTCATCTTTCCAAATCACTTAGCTGCTATCTGCCTCAGTTTCCTCATCTGTAAAAAGGGGATAATAATAGCACTTACCTCTCAGAATCGTTGTGATGCTCAAGTGAGATAATATTTGTAAAGTTCTTTGCAAACCTTAATGTGTTATAGATAAATGTTATTATTTGCAAACCTTAAAGTGCTATATAAATGTTATTATTTGTAAACCTTAAAGTGTTATGTAAGTGTTATTATTTGCAAACCTTAAAGTGCTATATAAGTGTTAACTATTTAGTATTATTATTATTATTATTAATTATTATTGCCTTCCATACTAGATTGTAAGCTCCCCAAGGAGCTCTTGAAGCTCTCTAGCTCTTTAAGATCCACAAAGCACTTTCCTTACAAGAATCCTATGAGACAGAAACACAAAGAAGCAGGACAGCTTTAAAAGTCACATGTTTAATTTATTATGTACTTTTTTTAAAGCTAAGTTATGTTAATAGAGATTTGCAGTTTCCTATACAATCCTCTTTTTCTGTTCTGCTTTATATATGGAAGTGATCTTCTTGGTGTTCATTAAATTCAGAATAAAAATAAAATAAGAATTAAGGATCCTGTGAAATCTGTCATTGGAGTACTATTTTATGTGTGAGAAAACCGAGGTTTAGAGAAGTTAAGGGATTTGTCCAAGATCACGCAGCCAGTAAGGGTGGGAACTGAGATTTGAACTTGAGCCGTCTGACCCTAGGCCCAGTGGTTTTTCCAGTACATTAAGCCGCTTCTCAGTTATGGTCTCCCCACCCCAACCCTCCCATTTCCCCAAGACAATGACCTCGTGTTGTTGTTGTTCATTCATTCAGTTGTGTCCGATTCTTCACGATCCCGTGGACCATGCCATCCATGAAGTTTTCTTGGCAAAGACACTAGAGTAGTTTGCCCTTTCCTTCTCCAGTGGAATAAGACAAACAGAAGTTAAGTGACTTACCCAGGGTCACACAGCTAATAAGTGTCTGAGGTCCAGTTCAAACTCAGATCTTCCTAACTTCCAACCCAGCCCTCTCTCACTTAAATTCAATTAACTTGCAGATCATGACATCTCCTTCCTGATGTTATGGTCCTCTTCAAGAAGGAAGGACAAACAACAACAACAACTATCCACTGAGACACCTAGCCGCCTCCAGGGTAACCAGAGGTTAAGTGACTTGCCCAGGGTCACACAGCTAATAAGTGTCAGAGGCCAGATTTGAAATCAGGTCTTCCTGACTCCAGGCCCAGAACTCTGTCTGCTGATCCATCTAGTTCCTAGTATATTAGGTCCTTAATAAATGTTTATTAAGTGGATTTGAAACAAATTAAATACCCAACAGCTACTAGGCTCTGGAACTGAAATAGTCCTACTTCTAGGATAATATGCACATGTTTTTTAATTCAGCTTTTTAATTAAATTTATATTTGCCTTCCAGATGTGCTTTGTTGCTGTTCTCAATGTCACAGGACAGCGCATGGATTTTTATTCCCTGGTCCACATCTGCTCGTTAATTTATTTGCTTTGTCTTCGGAGGAGGAAAGCAATTGCTGAGGCCTGGCCAAGATACTGTGGGTTTCTTGCCAGTCTTATGACCTTTCAGTACTTTCTGTGTGTTGGAATCCCTCCAGCTTTTTGCAAAGGTGAGCTCTTCAGATGCTTCAGCTCACATCTTAGAGAAGGGACCTTGCACTCTCCTTGTGTCTGGGAAGGCTCGCCTCACGTGCTCAGCTCCCCAGGAAGCAGCCCTTTGATCGTCTCAGCTGAAAGGGTTCTTCCTTTCATCAAATTTCTCATAGCACTTTGTCTGGACATTCCTTGTAAATAAGTAATTTCCATTCAATTTAATTTATGTAGTAATAGCAACAAAAATAGACGTTTATATAGGGCTTTAAGTTTTCCAAACCTCTTTACACAGGTTATTTCATTTAATCCTCATGATAACTCTGTAAGGTGAATGCTATTATTATCCCTACTTTACTGATGAAGAAACTGAGGCAAAGAGGGACTAAGTGATTTGCCCAGACTCATTCATCTAGTAGGTATCTAAGGCCATATTTGAACTCAGGTCTTCATTACTCCAAGCTCAGCATTCTATCTGCTAGCACATGACATGTCAGTATGGATTACATCCAAGTAAGCAAGTAAGGTAGCATCATGCATTAAGAATCAGAGGGTCTGATTCAAATCCTTGCTCTGCCACTTGTCACCTGTGTAGCCTTGACCAAGTCATCTAACTTCTCTGGGCCTCAGTTTCCTCATGTGTAAAATGAGGGAGATGGACCAAATGACCTTAGAAGTTCCCTCTATCTCTAGGTCTCTGATCCTGTGATCCTCAGTTATTACTGAGCAAGTTTAGTTGTTTTATATTCAGTATTATTTTATTTAAATTTTTAAAAAATTATTATTTATCTTTAACATTTAAAAAAAAATTTTTGAGTTCCAAATTCTCTCCCTCCCTCCCATCCTTCCCCTCCTATTGTCATGGCAAGAAATGTGATATCAATTATACACGTGAAATTATACAAGGTATATTTCCATGTTAGCCATTTTATCACAAAAAGCAAGAAAAATGAAAAAAGTGAAAAAAATTATGTTTCAATTTGCATTCAGACTCCGTGAGTTCAATATTATTTTAAATAAATCATTTAATAAAAATAAAACTGCCTGGCATTTGGTTAGTGCTTTCAACTTTTCTAAGTATGGTTTTAAATCTTGGGCCTCAGCCAACACAACAACCGTATAGCGTACAACCACCAAGGAGAAGACATCAGGCCCATGTGGGCAGGTAGGAGGCTGGATGCGGGTCATAGAGCTGACACCCCCGGCTGTCCAGCGCTTTCTCTACCATATTATGTTGCTTCAGATGGACAAAACCAGAGCAGAGATTCAGTAATAATACTTTCATCAATATTAATTTCTCAATATTATTTCACACATCCCATTTTAATCACTTCCTGTTAGCTGACCTAGAACAGAGGTGTCAAATACACAGTCTGGGACTGAGACACTCCTGAATGCACCCTGAGGCAGATTAAAGTATGATTGGGAAATAGTTAACAAAATGAATAAGAAATGACAAAACATAGATAATGTTAATGTGCCCCAATAGGGAGCACATTTTATATACATATATATGTAATATAATATATATAATATATGTATATATTACATAATGTTTAAGCCCCATTTCTATTTGAATGTCACACCAGTGGAGGCCCAATGGATAGGTCCAAGTTCAAATTGTGACTCAAACATTTATTAGCTGTGGGACTCAAGGTTGAACCTCTCTGGGCCTCAACTACGTCATCTGTAAAATAAAGGAGCTGGGTTTGATGGCCTCCAAATTTCCTCCCAGCTCTAAATGTATTTGTGAGAAATCTATAGTGTGAAACTTTCAGACCTTCGTAGACAGCTTTTGGGTTGCCGTACAGAGCACAATCACCACCCAGGGGCCATCCTCCAGAGCCTCTCTCACCCCAGTGAGACTGGGAATCCAACAAGAGACATACGCAGTCAGACACTGAGTTTGTATTTGGGGGCCTGTCAGAGCCTGTGCTCTGTAGGCGCATGTTTTGAGAACCCACATCCCCCTCTTTTAAACGAGAGGCATTCTTAACCTGGGGTCCACAGACTGGGGCCTGAGAACTTGGATGGGGGAAAAATTGTATCTTTATTTTCTTCAGTTTCTTTGTGTAATTCTTCATATTTTATCTTATGCATTTCAAAATGTTATTCTGAGAGAGAGCTCTAGAGGCTTCAACAGCTTGCCAAAGGTATTCATGACAAAATAAAAAGTTAAGAAATCCTAGTCTGGATCATTTGGCTCTGGTCTTAGTGGACCTGGGTTCAAATATTGCCTCTGTCACTAACTACCTGTGTGACCCTGGACAAGTCATTTGACCTTTTTTGGGACTCCTCTGTAAAATGAGTGGTTTGGCCCAGATGGCCTCTAAGGTCCCTTCTAATTTTAAATCTATGATACTATTATGATCCTTTAATCTCCAAATAAATACTATGATCCTGTATCCTTCCCCTACCTACCTATCCCTCCCCCCCACACACCATAATGAAAGATCAGAGATGGGCTTTTATCTCAAAAACAAAAATTGCATTAACAGAATGTTGACTCAATGTGATTAAAAAAATATAATGGTAATAATATGAAAATGACTCCTTGTTCTACAGATTACCCATGGAGATCCATGAGACCAGCAATCCATTCAAATCTCATTAAATGGTTGTATCTCCCAGATTTTGCCAAGAAACCAGATGCTTTTTTTTTGCTCTGTGAGTAGCTAACGTTTCTGCATGCCACTGTCCTAGAAGATACTTCAGACCAGTTGGGCCCTGCAGGGTCTAGTAAAGAAGTGTTCCCATCTTATGTGGCTCCATCTTGTGGTAGACATAGGCTTTCTATACTCCTTTTCTAGTATCTTCACTGCCAAAAGGAAGGAAAGAAGGAAACAAGGATTTATTAAGCATGTGCCAGATACTATGCTAAGTGTTTTACAAATATTGTCTCATTTAATCCTCACAACAACCTTGGGAAGGAGGTGCTATTATTATCCCTATTTTACAGAGGTTAAGTGATTTGCCCAGGGTCACATCGGTATCTGAGGCTGGATTTGAACTCAGGTCTTCCTGACTCCAGACCCAGCACTCTATCCACTGCACCATTTAGCTGCTTCTAGGTATAAAATGTAAAAGGTAAGCAGGATTAAAAAAAATAATTAAAATCTCCAATTTCTAGCACAGTGTAGCAAATAGCAGGTATTCAGTGAAAGCTTATAGATGGATTAGATATTTATTAAGTATCTATTAAGGTCCCATTCTAAGGACAGTTAGGTGGCACAGTGGATAGAGTGCCTGGCCTGGAGTGAGGAAGATCTGAGTTGAAATCTGGCTTCAGACACTTACTGGCTGTGTGATCTTGGGCATGTTTCTTAATTAGCCCTGTTTGCCTCAGTTTCTTCATCTGTAAAATGAGCCGGAGAAGGAAATGGCAAACCATTCCAGTATGTCCGCAAAGAAAACCCCAAATGGGGTCACAAAGAGTCAGACAGGACTGAACAACAGGGTCCCCTTCACTTTTAATGTTCTATGATACTATGATTTTGTATTCTCCCTAATAATCACTGAGAAGATGCTGATACTAGAATACAGTGTTCCAGTTTCCTTGTAATGTGAGATAATTCACATAGTTTAAAATCATGAATGTGAAATGATTTTTACTTTGAAGTATTGTGCTGGTGCTTTTCAATCAGATTTTTCCAATGCAGTTTTGCTGTGAGCTGTGAGACAGAACAGACATCAATGGGTAACTTGGGGAAAAAAGGAATAAATATTCCATATTTAAAATGCTCCAAAGTTGTATTTTGAAAGTGAGAACTTTCTTGTCACCAAAAGAGCTTGCTTTAGGTGGTCTCAGTCTTTCTAAAAACTATTAGCCCATTTATTAAAGTTCACTTATTTGTGAAAGTGAATCTCTTATTCCATTCCTCTATTCCCTAACTTTTCCCTGGCAGTGTGGTTTAATGGGAAGAGCGTTGGTCTGAGAAATGGGCTCTGAGCCTAATCCTGACACTCAACAGCTCTCCCTCCTTGAACCAAGTGCTTTCTTCTCAGAGCCTCAGTTTTCTTCTTGGAAAATTAGGGAATTGGACTAGATGAGCTCTAAGCTGTCTTCCAGTTCAAAAACTCTTATGATTCTTTGAATTTCCTCCTACCAGACTTCCTAACCATACACACAATCTATTTCTATCTTTGAACACTGAGGTGTTAAAGTTGGTGGCGGTGCTGAGGATAGGATGGTCAACTCAAAGCCCAGTTCAAGTTATGCTTAGAACCATACCATGTATCATAGGCTTTCTGTGCTTCTGTGTTAAACATTTTGAGCAGGGAATCTACTCTACTCCATAGACCCAGAGTCGTAACCAGCCATTCTGTACCTGGGTCACAAGACACATGAGAGGCAGGGTGGGGACATCAGTGAATGTACCAGGATACTGCACGGCTAGTTGCCGGGAGACTCTCTGATGGCAGGGTTGGTGGAGAAGCAAGTGAGTTCAGGATTGGGAGGAGCTAACTTGGATTGCTGCAGCCACTGGTGATGGGGAGGGGGTTGTAAATGTTCTCAGGTAAATTCCTATTTTTAACTTATTTTGCCTGGAACTGGTGCTAAACTGTTTCTGAACTGCTAATTGGGTTAGACTAAAGTACTATCAGCACCCTCTAAATTTCAATGCCTGGGCAAAGCCTTTGCTTGCCCTGTCCTAATTGTGACCCCACACAGACCTTTTGGTGATATTGCTGCTGTCCTATTTAGTGGCTAGTTGAAAATCACAATGGTCTTTTTGTTTTTTTCCCCTCTTTCCCAAAAGGGAGATGATAAGGAAATTAGTTCAAAAAGCGATTTGGGAGGATGAATATTCTATTTAAGTATAAAGTTTTACTGCCCTAAAGGACTTGACCCATGAATAGTGACTTCAGTAGAACTGATTGAGTGAACACCTGTTTAAATGTGGAGCAGATCACCTTGCAATGGGTCTAATTCCATTCTTGCATATCTCCACAGATGATTTTTTGCTTCTGCTCTTTGCCTCTCTCCAGTGGCAAGTATTTGAAGATGAGAATAAGGCTTCTGTAAGAATGGAGGTAGGAGATAATGTGGAGATAAGCCAGGATTTGATCCCAGAAGACCTCAGTCAATTCACTCCGGTACCGAACTTTATTTACTGCCGGTAAGACTCAGAGTCCAGTGGAGACACAGAAGAATGGCTCGCCCTTTTCTGGTTCATCCTGTTCCTAATGTTTTTATAAAATTTCCTCTGAACAGTCAAAGTTACTTCCTGAACTTTCCCCCCTGTAATCTAGTCCTACAGAGGCAGCTGGGTGGTGCAGAGGATACAGTATCAAACCTGGAGTCAGAAAGACTTGAGTTTTAATCCTGTCTCAAGCTCTTACTAGCTGTGAAACCCTGGGAAAGTCACTTACTTAACCTCTGCCTCAATTTCCCCAAACATAAATTTGGGGTAATAATAGCATATGTGTCACAGGGTTGCTGTAAGGACCAAGTAAAATAATGTTTAAAGCACTATATTAATGGTACCTATTATTATTAGCTATTATTACAATCCTATTTTTTAATAAATTGCTTTCATTTTGTTCAATTCCTTATTTTACAGATGAGGAAATTAAGGCTAAGATAGGAGAACATACTCGCCCAGAGTGATATGTTAGTATCAGAGCGTCCTCTCTCTCCAGATGCACTTCTCTTCCCACCACATCACACCACCTCTCATTTTGTAGTGAGTGCCTTCTCCCTGGAAGTGTTCAACAAGAGGCTGAATACCTACGTGTAGGAGAACTAATAGAGAAAATTTCTCCATTAGGCTGGAGGACCCCTTCTAACTCTCAGATTCTGAGACTTATGGAATCTTAGCATTGGAAAGGACCTTCCAAGTCAATTAGGTCTAATTAGGTCAATTAGGCTAATAATGTCTCACCCTATGAAAGCCCAAATGTCTACTTAGATTTTGACTCACCTGTGCTGTCTTCTAGGTCCTACCTTGATACGGCTAAAGTCATTGTGTTCCGCTATCACTTCTGGTTTGTACTCTGCCTGGTTTTCCTCACTGGGACAACTCGAATCAACATCCTCTGTGCTGGCTACCTAGTAGCCTTTTTCTACTTCATGCTCCGTGGAAGGGCCCTCCTGTTGAGACCCATGAAAATTATTCTCCATTGGTGGGACTGCCTGATTACATACACTGCTCTAGTGATTGCCATGAAGAATCTTCTAAGTGTATGTTTGTATCTTCACATACCTTCTGGGGATTGTTTTTTGTTTGTTTTTAGCTCAGCTCTCTTAAGACCTTAAAAAAATGAGTGAGTATTACCAAGACAAACAGTGATCTTAAAAGATCATGTTTTTCATCTATTTAACCAAGGCAAAAAAACCCAAGAGGCAGCAATGGCACAATCAATAAAAGGTGGCCTCGGAACCAGGAAGACCTGAGTTTGAGTCCTGACTGTGTGACCCTGGACAAATCGCTTAACTTCTCAGTGCACTAATAGATGGCTGTATTAGACTATACATTTCAGAGAAGGTGCTGACCTGCACTGGTGCCATCTGGGAGTTCCCAAATCAATGAAATCACAAGTACAGGCCCTAACTGTTTAACCTACAAAACACTAAAGAATGCCTAAATGTTGTCATGCAGCACATGCTTCTTAGAGAAGCTTTTGAGACTAAGAGCTATGAATTTGAGTGATGGTAGGGGGAATGGAATGATTTATGAATTAGCAAATAAGGACTAGAATCTATTATTAGGGATACTTATTAGGGACTGGACTTCATTTATATAGAAAACTCCCAGGTAATAAAATGGCCTCCTTCCAGCCCCTTTTCTGCAACATGTAGTTTTAGAGAGTTGTCTAGAGAACTGAGACGTTAAGTGATTTGCCAAAGGTCACACGCAGTCAGTATATATCAGAGGCAGTACTTGAACCCAGTTTCCATGGCTCGGAATCCAAATCTTTATCCATTGTGACCACATTGCCTCTCAGAGTCCACTGTTAAGATTTTATAAATCTGCATGACATTTAAAGTACTCCTCTGAAGCCTCATCCTGGCTTGGGGGTGACCCTGGATTCTGGAAGGCTACGAGAGTGGGGCACAAGCTCTAGCCAAGTTCTATACCAAGCAGGAAAAGCTTTGAGGATGTCCCAGTGATGGACGGTGTGTCTGTGGTGCGTATGGTTTATGACCAAAAGACTGGCCGTAAGGTGGTGATTGTTTTTCTGTAAATGAAAGCATCTACTAAGGCATGGAGGGACTATGATCTGCACTAAAGCACTCACATCAATGAAATCACAGGAATGAGTACTGCCGAATAAGTGCCTTGCACACCGATGGTGCTTAATAAATGCTTGTTGATCAATTGCTATAACTTTATAATTCTTATTTTACTTGATCCTCACGATAACCTTGCGAAGGTCATTGCAAGGCAGGGCAAGTATTGTTATCTTCATTTTAAAGAAGAGGAAAGTGAGGCTCAAGTAGCTTAAATTACTTGCTGGGGTCGTGCAGCAAACGATAAGGTAGGGTCTTGAACCCAGGTTTTTGGATTCCTAGCCAGTACTTTTCATGTACTATCTCTGTGGCTGTTAAGACAAATGCAGCAATCACAAAGAGACCCCTGTCCAGCTTAGCTTTGGAATAAATAACTGCTGAGATCACCTTTCAGCTCTGAGATCTTGTGATTCTGTACTGAGCATTTCCTGTGTTCTTTGTCTGACTTTAGATTGGAGCTTGCACCTACCTGGAGAGATTACTGAGTTCCCACTGCTGGTTTGTTCACAGTTTTAGCATATACTGCACAATAGGAGGCTATAGCTTATGTAAGTACCCCTCTGTTCTTCTCATCATTGGTGTAAGTACCTAGCCAACTGCTTTCATCTCTGGCACAAGTGCCTACCCCACTGCACTCACCTCCTTTTTCCAAGAGAAAAAGACTAAGCAAGTTGAGCAGAAACTTCATACAAGCTTGATTTACTATGCGCAGCTCATGTTCTAAACAAGAATATGGAGAGAAACCAAGCTAGAAACTGGTCCCAAGTTGTGGATACATCCATTTTCTCAAAAGAAAAATCATGAGCTCATTTAATAAATGAATTTAATTGGGTCCCTGTGCTAATAGGCTAAAGGAAAGAAAGAAGGAGGGAAGGAAGGAAGGTAGGGAAGAAGGTAGGAAAGAAGGAAGGAAGGAAGAAGGAAGGAAAAGAGGAAAGAAGGGAGGAAGGGAAGATGTGAGGAAGGGGAAGGAAAAGGAAAGAAAGGAAAAGGAAGGGAAAGAAAGGAAAGGAAGGGAAGGGAAGGAAAGGGAAGGAAGAAAGAAAGGGAAAACTTTACCACAAGAATTTCTTCTTAAAGACAAAAGCAACTAAATAGATTTGACACCTTCACTTAATTTTTTAAAAACTTGATATGTGTATTTATGGGAATGTTCAGGAAGTACTTGGAATATACAAATCATTCATCCACAGCTCTGCTTGAGCTATATTTTTCACAGCAGTAGAGTTCATATTAAATGCACTTATAAGTAGGTTACACTACAGTGATTGGCATGATTTTTCTCTTAAGTTCCTCTTTAATTTCTCCCTAAATTACTTTCATGTAATTAATATCATATGCTTTTTAAAATGTAATATACAATTAAAATAAAAGAGAAAAAGGTGTATACTTTTCTGACCTGTCCCTGGAGGAACATTCCAGTCAAGTTGGCTCTTTCAGGTCCAGGGTCATGTCAATGTGACACTAGACCTATCCAGTGACTGAGCAGTGTTCTGACCACTCCCCAGTGACAGTCCTTCCAGGGACTGTGTTAATTGCAAGTAGTACAGCACAGGACCCTGCCCACTTTAGAGAGGAAAGGACTATAGTTCTGCCTGACAACAGATGAAATTGACTTGATTTTGTGAATGGGGGCGAAAGGAAAGACTATTTTACTCCTGGTTTTATAGAACATCTTGAATTTCTATACCTGCCTTCTAAAGAGTTCAGAGTCCTCTTCTCTCATCTGTCCTTTTACCATTTCTTCTATCAATTGAGTGTTCTCATTCTTGTTTTACAGGAGAGACTGAGACCTAATGTGGCAAAGTAGCTGTTCAGGTTCACACAGCAATAGATACAGAATGTCTAATATCAACTGATTAGGGTTGGAGGTGGGGAAAGACTGGACTGTCTTTTTCCAATTCTGATCACTTTCCCTAAACCCTAATTATGTCTCCAAATCCTGATCTCATTTTTCCTTCCTCTTCCCACTCTCTATATCTCACCCTCCTGCTCATTTATCTAACACTTTGGGCTTTGGTAGAAGAAGGGAAAAAAAGATGAGTGAAGGAGGAATGATGAGAGGGAGTGCTTAAGCTCTATAACTATTATCCCTGCTCATAGCCATGGGGGAAAAGGGGGATGAGTTGGAAATAGGGGACAAAATAATACTTTTCTTGTGCCGACTATTCCCACCATGTCCTCACAGAAAAGCTTATAAACATTCATGTTCTTTCTTGTGTAGCCATTCCTGATGACGAAGGGTGTGAACCTCCAGAAAAGGAAGCTGGGATCCTATGGGATGCTATATGTTTCACCTTCCTGCTAATCCAGAGGAGAATCTTTACAAGTTACTATCATCTTTATGTTGTGGCTGATCTAAAAGCCACTGAGGTCTTAGCATCCAGGTACATGGGCAACATGCCACTGAGCACAGGGTGGGAAATGTATCTCAGAGTATAACTCAGAATATTGAGTATTGTCACATCTCAGAGCTGGGATTCAATTGAATTCAATGAACATTTATTAAGTGCTCACTATATGTCAGGCACTGTGCTAAGTGCTAGGGATACAAAAAGAGGCAAAAGACAGTCTCTCCCCTCAAGGACCTTACAATCTAACGGGGGGAGACAACATGCAAACAAATATATACAAAGCAATCTATATACAGGATAAATAGGAAATCATTAACAGAAGGAAGACACTGGAATTAAAAAGACTTGGGAAAGGCTTCCTGTCAGAGGTGAGATTTCAGTCAGGACTTAAAGGAAGCCAGGGATGTCAGTAGTCAGAGCACAGGTAGGAGAGCATTCCAGGTATGGAGGACAGCCAGAGAAAATGCCTGGAGCCAAGAGATGGAGTGTCTAGTTTGTGGAACAGCCAGGAGTAATATGTAATATGACTGGAAAGGGATCAACTTTGGATGGTTTCATTTTATAGAAAGGGAAATTGAGCCTCTGAAAAGAGAAGTGGTTACCCAAGATCAAATAGTGAATTAGTGATAGAGCTGCTACATTGAGCTATACGTGTCTTACTCAATGAATGCCTTTCTTGATGAATGCATTCCTCCAACATAAGGCAAAACAGCCTCATATGTCTCAGTGAATGCCAGGCAAGCTGACTAGATTTCATATTCTGGGATAATATAATGCTTCTTTTGCATTCTTAGAGGAGCTGAGATGTTTGACTTGAAGTTAAGAAAGTTTTTGGTGCTTCAAGAAGAAGAAGAGGAAAAGTCAAAACTGTTCATGATGAAACAGTACGTTGATCAAACAATGCTTTATGTCCTGCTCCTACATAGGAAAGATTAACCAACCACATGAGGTCGGCCTTTTTCATCGTTCCTTCTCTGTTTCTTTCAGGCAGTACATTTTTCTATTTAATGATTATGTATTTAGAGCTGGAAAGGAACTTAAAGATCACTGGGACCAATTCCCTTATATTGTATAGGAGAAAACTGAGGCAAAGAGAGGAAAAATGGCTTGCCTGAGGTCCCACAAGTGGTAACTGGCAGAGTCAAGATTTAAACCCAAGTCCCTGACACCAAATCCAGCATTCTATCCATTGTACCACGCTGTTGTTGTTCAGTTGTTTTTAGTCATGTCCGACTCTTCGTGACCCCATTTGGGGTTTTCTTGGCAAAGATACTGGAGTGGTTTGCCATTTCCTTCTCTAGCTCATTTTACAGATGAGGAAACTGAGGCAAACAGGGTTAAGTGACTTGCTCAGGGTCACACAGCTAGTAAATATCTGAGGCCAGATTTGAACTCAGGAAGATGAGTCTTCCTGACTCCAGGTCCTGAACTCCATCCACTGCATCACCTAGCTGCTCCACTGCACCTACTCATCCTTTAAGTCACCCTTTCATCACATCACTGAATATGACTAATAGGAAGAGCAAGCAATGAAGCTGAATAAAATGACCATGTTCTGAGTGTAGATTGTTAAATTTGAGATTTGAACATGAGTTTCCCAGTAGATAAGGATGCTAAGAAGTGCTCTTCCAACCTAGGAATCCATATAATTCTGTAGTTTGGCTCCTCTTACCTTCCAATCTCCTCTCTCTCTCCAATTCTCCCCTCCACTCCCCTCCCCACCTCACCCCCAACACCATGATTGCTATTTCACATTCCTACCCCAACATTTTTTGCTATGATGGATCTCCCTGGAATAACCTACCCTCTTCTCTCTACTGATCTAAGACCTACTCCTTCCTTAAAGGCTCTATGGAGTTTCTTTCCTCCATCTTTAGCTAGTCAGTAGAGAGAATAAATTCTGAAATGAACATGGGACACCAAGAAGTTTCTGTAGGAGATGGGGCCCATTTGGCAGAAAGGAGGTGGTGGGGGTGAGGGTGGGGGATGGGGAAGGATAGCTTCTCAGAACTTGTCTTAAATTGCCAGAATGGAGAAAATCAAATTGAAACAGAAAAAAATTGACAGTATGCAGCAGACTGATAAGACCTTTGGTATCTCAATGGTTAAAGACGGCCATTCTCCCAAGCAAGAAGCAAGACAAACACAAGGTAAGGATGCAATCATTGGTGCACTCACCTGTCTCAGGTGACCCTCAAAGAACCTCTAAGATCCGAGATAGTGAAATTAAATCATCTGCCATGTAAAACCACTCTTCCCTGAGAGTAAGAATGGGCGTGGACTTGAGCCTTTAGAAGTGTCTGACAATGGGTCTACGCTAGAGTAGCTTCTCCACTGATCTCATTTCCTTAGAAATTTGGCTCTGAAACAGCACTGGAAGTATAAATTCTGACCCAAGCAAGAAAAAAAAATCTAAAAAGGGACCTTTGTTAGTACAAAATCATAGGATAATAGGCTTAGAGCTAGAAGGGTCCATACAGTTCATCTGGTCCAACCCTCTCATTTTACAGAGGAGGACACTGAGACCCAGAGGGGTAAATAATTTTGCCCAAGATCACATAGATAATAAGTGGCAGGGTTGGGATGCAAACCTAGGTCTTCCAAGTACAAATGCAGAACAATTTCTACTGTACCTGTGGGCCTCCAGCAGAGGGAGGCCCTTCCTTCTGTAGGTTGTAGTAGGGCTTCTAGAAATTCAAAGGCTGCTTTGACAACTACAATACTGAGATTCCCAAGAACATTTCCTCAAAGAATCAGGTTCCCAAAGGAGGTAGGAGATTTTTGTTTGTTTAATCAAAGAATAGAACATGCTTCTAAAGTTAATTTTTCACCTCATGAATTCTTCTTGAATTGAACCAATTTGTGGGGTTAAAAAAAAGAATTCATGTCTTTATTTGATAATGAGCAGTCACATTTCCTTTTATTAGGCAAAAATTACATCGGGTATATAATTTAACCTCACCAATTAAGACTAATTAGATTGAACAATTTGTATTAGTGATAAATCTAAGTTTAGAAGGTGTCTTTTTTTTTTTTAGTTATTTAACATAATGTAGTTTCACTGTTTAAAAATGTATAAAGTATATTCCAAGGTAGTTTTACAAAGTATTGCCCAATAGAGGTACCCAGGGGACCTGCTTTTTTGAATAGGCAAGAATGAGTTTCAATTGTCATATGGGATGAATGTAACTAAAAACAATCCTATCAAGTTACTTTTTAAAACCGTGTAAATCTGTTCATTTGATTAAGCCAATCTTTTCTTAATGGATAGTAGAAAGACAGGCTTTAGTTCTTTGGGGAGGAATTATCCCATGTTCTAAATGAGTAGTCTTTCATCTAGTGAGGCTTTACTCTATTTGCAGATGATGAGAGCATAATGAAAAATAAAGGCGAGAACTGGTGGCAGCCTTGGGTAAAGCATCCTTCTAGTAAGTTGACGGAGATTCTAATGAGCATAGTGGGTTATTACACAAGGCTAATGAGGCAGAGACCTTGGCAGCTAGAGGGTGAAAAGGATAGAATGCCTGGCCTGGAGTCAGGAAGACCTGAGTTTAAATCCCACCTCAGACACTTCCTAGCTGTGTGACTCTGGACAAGTCACTTAACCTCTGTCTGCCTCAGTTTCCTCAGCTATAAATAGGAATAATAATAGCACTTAACTTTAAAGGGTTATTGTGAGGATAAAATGAGAGAATATTTGTAAAGTCCTCCGCAAACCTTAAAGTGTTCTATGAATGTTAATTATCATCAGCATTATCGTTATCTATTTCCTTGTGAGCCAGCTTCGTGGGTTAGCTTTTTCCTTTGTTCCATGATTCCAGACTGAATCCCTATTTCTAGCAAGCTGACTTGATACACAGCTATGCTATAATATACAAAGGGGCCTGGGCTAGAAAGTATAAATAGCAGCACAAATCTCTCACATTTATTATAGAAGAACCCCAAAACTCATGCTTTGGGTTGATGGGTAGCGTTGGGCTTATATACAAATGGACAGCATTTCATTTTTTGACAGCTATAGAATATCTGCAATGTGACGGTCCCAAGAAAGGGACAATGAATGGAGGCTTTCTATGCCATAGATAACAAGCTGTTTGTGATGACAGATGACAAAGAAAAGCACCCCACTCCCACACGACCCACACCACCCCCATACTCCCTACATCCCCAGGGACTAATTCAATGCAGCAGTATCAATGCATCTCAATCTAGATGAGGAGAGCTGAGACTTCAGGCTGTATCAGGAGGGGTTAGTATCATAAAAATAAAATGTCTTATAACATCACTAGAATAAGACAGATTTCAGATAGTACTTAACTTTTTTTATCAACCTTCCTGGGATGTGTACAAAGAGACAAAACTATATATCCTTTTGTTCTGTGGAATTATTTTAAGTGATTCAGGATGGGAGCTATAGCCTCTTTGAGTCCGACAGTGAAGAGGAAGAAGAAGAAATAAATGAAGAAAAAAAGAAAGAAGCATTTCCAAAGCCTAAAACTGCCTTCCAGGTATCTTTGTTGGGTTATGTCCCTGAATTATCCAAGTGCAATAGTCCCATTACAATACTGGTTTATTATTAATAATAATAATTTATATTATATATAATATTAATTGTTATTATTATTATTATTTTCATAACAACTCACTTCCTGATGGTGCTTTAAAGTTCATAAAATACTTTTTTGGTAACAACCCTGTAAGATAGATAGTGCTAATATCATTATTTCCATCCCCCAAAAGGCCTAACAATTAACTATTCTAATTCTTCTACTCATCAGCCCTGTGATTTACCAGACAAAAACACCCTTTCATTGCCACCACTCCTGTACAGGTGTTGTCTCTCCCTTTTAAAGAATAAGTTCCTGGAGGGTAGGAACTATTTCACTTCTGCATTTGTATTCCCTGAGATTAGCAATATAAGTGCTTAATAAATGCCTTTTCCTTCCTTCCTTCTCTCCTTTCCTCCTTCCTCACCCTCCATTCTTTCCCTTCTTCCTTCCTTCCTTCCTTCCTTTCTTCCTTCCTTCCTTTCTTCCTTCCTTCCTTTCTTCCTTCCTTCCTTCCTCTTTCCTTACATTTAATAGATGAGAAAATTGAGATTCAGAGATATTAAATGACTCATCCAAGGACATATCTAGAAAGTATCAGAATCAGAATTTGAACCCAGGTCCCCCAACTCTAAACCCTTTGCTCTTTTCAATAACACTTATGTTATAAACATAATGTCATGGTGAGATCAGAACATCATAAATGTTCAGTGGAATGAGCACTGGATTTGGAGACAGAGGATTTGGGCTGATATTCTGGCTCTGCTACTTACTACCCTCCCCACCATCACCCTGGTCAAGTCACTTACCTTAGTTCCTTTTCTGTAAAATGAAGGAGTTGAACGAGATGTCCTCTAAGGTCCCTTATACTGGCTATAAATCTCAGATCTAGGTTAACCATCTCATTTTACAGATGAGAAAACTGAGACTTGGTGAAGTTGAGTGACTTGTCCAAGGTAGAAAGTAACAGAATCCAGAACTAGGATTTGAATCCAGGTCCTATCAATCTAAATCCTGTGGTCTTTGTACTATATACCAAGCCGCTACAGTGTACATATATTGCTGTATGTAATGGGAACATGAGTTGACACAGTATAACATACTCAACGTGGCAAATGAGTTCATTGCAGGCTTTCATTATGTGTTTATTGTGTTAACTTGAGGGAATTTCTAAATATGAAGAGAACTGCTGGTTAAAAAGGCCTACAATTCCAGATCGTTGTGTACGTTTATTTGTAATCAGGGCATGAAATTGGAACATGCCCTTTCAGCCTGAGGCAGCTTTCTAGATATTTGGAAAACATGGAACAATTGGGAATAAATCCTAGTTTTTCATCAAAGGAAGTCACTGGCCCTTTCTTCTCAGCATAAACCATTTGCCCTACACCACAGGAATTGTGGATTGCACTGGTCTATGCAAAATAAAGGGGAGACTAAGGCACAAAAATACTCTGGTCTTTCCTATATGAAAAGGCAGAGAGAGCCAGCATGGCATCATCCACTGAGTTCTAGATATGTTATGAGGAGGATGTCTTGGCTGTGATGTTTGCCGGTCATGGGATCCTCAGTGAATGCTTTTCCAGGCCTCAAGGTTTGATCTATAAAATGTGGGTAATAACACTTGTACTACTTACATCTCATGGATGTGGAGAGAAGTGTGCTTCATAAACAGTAAAGTTTGATAAAAAAAAAATGTGAATTTTTATCCACAAAAAGTCTTACCTCAATCCTTTAGTCTCTTCAAACCCTTGTTCTATCTTTCAAACTTTTCCAAAATAGTCAAACCTTGATGCTTTCTCTGTTATCTTCTCATTCCTTGACCCCGTATTTGGCTTCTATTCTGACTTTGTTTCTATGGCTATCTCTACAGTCACGACTGACCTCTCACTTCTCACATCACTGACTATTTCTCTGGCCTCATCCTCTTCACACTTTGTTGAGTAATTGGCATTGTTGGTTATGAACTACTCCTAGATATTCTCTTCTTCCTTATCTTCAGTGATATCAAAAAGTCTTAGATTGTTTGAAAGAACCTATAGTTTATTTAATTTACTCTCTCCTTTAAGCCTCAGGGACAATTATTTTTGTGCCTCCTTTCAAATTCATGGGGCCGTAAAGAAGTCTCAGAGTCCACTTAGTTCAACTCCCTTATTTTTTGAAGGAGGGAATTGAGCCCTTGAGAAAAATCTTTAAGTGACTTTTCCAAAACAACAATGAGTAATAATCAACAGAGTTGGGATTTGAACCCACGTCTTCTGACTCTAGATCTATCATTCTTTCCTTTGCACCATGCTGCCCCTGGTTCGTTTAATAGTCAATAGAGGGGACACATTCATATTTTTCTTAGTTTTTATAGTTAATATTTCTGGGTTTTCTTTGGAACATGTCACAGGTTCACCCAGAGAATTTTGTCTTTAGTTTACTATGGTGTGCAAATATCTGAGTGGAACTTGAAACATTTTTAAATTCAGGATCTGTTCCTTCAGATCATTTCTTTTCTAAGAGGAAATTGCTTGGAACAAATATGACATTGATTTTCCATCTCACTTTATTATTTTCAATTTGTCTGTTTCAAATTACTTAAGACTTGACAACCACCATATAGTTAGAGAGCTTTCTGATTAGATTTTTGTGGCTTAAAAAAAGAGTATAGATGAGACTGATGTTGGCTGAAACTGCCAAAGAGATATCAAAGTAAGGATTCCTCTCTCTCTCTCTCCCTCTCTCTCTCTCTCTCTCCCTCTCCCCTCTCCAGCTCGCTTATGATGCCTGGGCAAATAGTTCTGCATCAGCAATCAGGCTGTGGAAGCAAGATGAAATGACATTCAAGAGAGAAAAAAAGAAGGAGGAATGGGAGCCACAGAGTCAAAGAGGTATCCATCCATTCCAGAACAGAGAGCTGGGTGATAGCTTTGATAGATTACTGGTCTAAGAAGAACAATTGAAATTAAACAGTTGACATTTTTGATTTGTGCATTAACAATAAATAGATTGGGCTCTAGGAACGATTACATCATGATCAGACAGGAATGCTAATTTTTTTTAATAAGGGCTAAAGAAGAGAGATTATGATTATGTCGGTGCCCATGATAAAGGCTGGAACTTTTCTAAAGAATAGTTTGTTCGTCTAAGGCATTTGCAGGGACATCTGAATTTTGCAAATCTGTTGACACCATAATTACAACTTTGGGTTATGGAAGGTATCAGAGAGTTATAGATCTGAAGGGACCTTAGAAATATTTTAAATGCCATTGATATAATTTATCTTTCCATCACTTTCATTTTAAAATACATCTTTCCCCATCCCTACCTGGAGAGTCACCCTTTATGACAAAAAATGAAGAAAGAATAGGAAAACAAAGCAACCCAGCAAAGCTCACCAACACATCAACCACATCTGACAATATATAGAATGTTCCATACTCTTAGCCCCCACTTCTGCAAAGAAGGGAAGGAGTTGCATTTTCTCATCTCTTGAGGACTTTGGAAATTATAGAGTACGTGGTCTTTAATGAATCAGATCTTTGCCTAGAAAAGCATCCATCAGAAATAAACACTTTAGAACAAGTGATGAATTAGTGTAAGAATTTGAACAGTTTTACTCTTTACATGGTCTGGATACAGAATCAGATGACTGGATGCCATGTCCTAGTGTAATTCCAAAAATGTTATGTTCATCTAGGGTTGAAAATCATTCCCCAGCCACCAGCAACACTCCATGCCCCAACTCTCCAACATACATATACCTCCTGTAATGTAACATAACCAAGTTTTTGATAATAAAGAATAAAACAGATGATTCCAAGTGATGTCTATCTTTCTGTAGGATCAAAAGACAGAAGTCTGGAGAACTGTGAAGATGTTAATGTTGATGTCTCTGAGAAAGAAGATGGAAGCTTGTATGAACCAGGTAGGGACACTGGATATCTATATGAGGGGTTAAGGTTGATCATGGAAAGAGATAAAAGTTGCTTTAAGAGGAGGGTAGTATCAAAGACAAATATCCCTGCTTTCTCTTTTGCCCAGGGTCTACCTTGGGTCTGCCAGGTTGGCTCTGGGGAAATTTTGATGATTTTGTCTAAGTGATAAGAATTTATTCATTCGATAACCACTTATTAAGCACGTACTACGTACAGAGTCCTGTGCTTAGTACTTGAAGAAACACAAAGTTTAGAAAAAACCCAGTTTTTCTATCTTATGAAGCTCACACTGGAAATATAAAGTCCTGGTACCCTGGGAGATTTTCCTCCATAACTAACTGGGTTATGTTCAATTTTATTTTGACTCAGTACTGAAAGTCTATGAAATGCATATCATGGGGCTTTGTTACATAAATATTTGGAGGTTTGATTTGTTCTTCCCTCCTGGTTTTCTCCATTTTTTCACAGAAATCCTAATGCAGAGAATAATCAGTATGGTCAAATTTTCATGGGTCTTTGGGAAGGTGCTGCTGGAGGGCACCATAGCAGCAGTGCACTCCCTGTACAAAGAAAATTGGGAAATAACCACCGTGTTGAGGATGGAGCGGTGTATGCTACTGAGAAGGCTCAGTAAGGTAAAGGCCATGTTGCTCCAAACAGGCTACCTTGAATGAGTCGTTCAGCTCAGACCCATCATTCCACAGTCTGGCTAATGCTTCGTATCTTTTGTGAGCTCCTCAGCAGGGTCATTACCACTTCTCCCTATGCATGACTTTCTGCGTGTTTAGATCAAAGGCTTAACAAAACCCATTCTTCCACCAAGTGCAACTAGCAACCTCAGATAAGTTTTGAAGAGAAGAGTGAGGTGTTCCCTTGGTGCACTTAACTTAAAGCATCCTTTTCTTCAAGGAGGGGCATGACCCCACCCCAAAGCAAATTGTTTGGACATCTTTGATGTACTGTGAGTGTTCAGACAGTGTGATTAAAAAAAAAACTAAGTACTAACTAGTAAAAGCCACTACATTTGGTGCTAGGGATACAAAAACAAAAATGAAACATGAAATCGTCGATTTAGAACTCCAAGAATACTTACATAGGTCATCTAATTCAACCCCCTCATTTTACAGATAAAGATAATGAGGCCCAGAAGTTTCAGTTACTTGTCTGTGGTCACATAAGGAGTAAGTAGCAGAGCTAAGATTAGAGTTCAGATCCTTTGACCCCAAATCCATCACCCTTTCAACCACATTACCCTACTCTTGCTAAATAAGAGTCCCTTTCCTCAAAGAATTTATAATAGGGCAGGGGGATTGAGATAAGAATAATAATGCAAGGTAGAGAGTGATGGGGTTAAAAGAGAGATCCTAAGACATTGGAGAAAGGGGAGATTATTTTTAGTTGGGAAAATCAGAGAAGGTTACATGTGGCAACCTGGGTACTACAGTAAATAGGGCACCAAACCTGGAGTCAGGGAAACCTGAGTGCAAATTCTGGCTCGGATACTAGCTGTGTGACCCTGGACAAATCACTTAACTTCTCTGTACCACAGTTTCTCCATTTGTGAAACAAGGGTAATATAGCACCTCCCTCACAGGATCAAATGTGAGGATCAAATGAGCTAACGTATGTAAAGCACTTTTCAAACCTTAAAGTACTATATAAATTTTAGCTACTATTCTTGTTGTTGCACCGTAGTTGGCAATTAGCTTTAACCCTAAAGAAACAGATTCAAAAGGGTGGAATGAGGCATTGGTATATTCATGGCATAGGGGATATCTTTTGGGAATATATGGATGTGGGAAATGGTATGTCTCGTTCTTGTTAATGGAATCCAAGCACCATGCTTTATTTGTAAAATGAAAATGTAAAATGTCTTTGTAGGGGGAAAAGGCCACCAAAGAGAACATTTTGAGATACTACCATTTAAAACTTCAGGAGAAACAGAAAACCATACCTGTCAAAATAAAGGAAAGGGAGCCAGGAGCAGAAGATCAGGGGTTACCTGATGCTGGGTTACCTGAACACCATAAAGACAATGTACATTTACCAGATGAGTCTGAAGAGGAGATAATTCCTTCAGGGGATCAATGTAGAGATAAAGATACCTTAAGTCAGCAATCACCCAGAGAGGGGTTTCAGTTACAGGCTGGATCCGGGAACGACCTTGCCAAGAATGACCTTGAGGACCTGCCATCATCAGTGGGGCAACCCCCAACTGGAGAAGACTCACAGTCACTTGAGGAGACCCCAGCATGCAGGTGAAAAGGCCTTGATGAAAGCTTAGAGTCTGTTAAGGTCAAAATTTTGCTATGCAAACAGTGGAAGTCAGAATAATGTTTTCAAAGCACACTTTTGCTGAAGTCATCACATTGAACCCTAAGCCAAAAAATATTGGCTCAGATAAGCACAGAAATAATTTACCCTAATTTACCCTGAACCTAGTTTTAAAAAATTATTGATAGCTTGTTTTTATATTGCTTTCATTTCCGAATATAACCTTTCCCCATCTCTTCCCAGAAAGTCATTCCATATGATGAAGAATAAAAAAGAGGGGGAAAAATCAGCTCAATAAAACTAACCAAGCTGGATAGCAGTGTTATCCATTACATATAATTACATACAGTGCTATCCTATACAACAAAGGTTGTATTCTACAACCATCATTCCCCATCTCTGTAAAGAGGGGAGGAGAAGTGCATTCTCTGGGATTGTTTACAATTATATTTTCTTGTTTTTATTTCCATTTACACTGTAACCTGCCACCTAGTTTACAAAAAAACAACAACAAATAATCCAAATTGATTTTGATCTGGTAATTTTTCCAACAAGATTTAAATGAACCAAATGATCAGAAGATAATTTTGTCAGTAAGAAAATTCCCAGAAAATGCTTCATAAGTTATCATAGAATATCAGAACTGGAAGGGCCCTTAGAGATAGTTACCTCCAAACCCATCTTCTTACAAATGAAGAAATTGAGGTCCCAAGGGAATATATATGACTTGACCAAGGTCACACAATGTTTGACTCCTAGTCCATCAATTCTCCTCCTACATTAATCAATCAACAACCATTCAGTAAATGCTTACCACATGCCAAGTACTTTGTGCACATCAGACTAATTAACGCTTCTTGGAAGACTTGCTTTAAAGAATGGAAAAGAATGGTTTGTAAGTAAGTTGTTTAAATGAAAATGAATTACCAGAGAGCACTTGTCTTTTTGAATAAGTAAAGCCATCCCCTGAATTTTTGCACTAACAATTTGTTCTGTAAACCCTCTCTTCATAGATAGAACAAATATCAATCTCAGTTAGCCCCATACAAATGATTGCAAATCCCTTGTGGGGTTTTCTGTTGTTTGAAATTTGTTTCATGTGAATTTGATGTGTTTATTTTCAAAAGTTTTGGTGTCTTGTGTTTTTTGTGACATTTGGGGGGGCCTAGGGAACTCTCAGAGATGGGTGATAACTATGCAAGTGATGATGAGGACAGCCTGGGTGAGGAAGATGAGGGTGAGCCAGTCTCAGGACTTGTCTGTCAAGAAGCCAGACCTCCCTACAGCAGCTCAATGCAAGCTCGACAAAGAAGCTCCTTATCAGAAGCCAAAGACTTGGTTACTACTTCAGTGGGACAGAGGAAGAAAAGAGTCAAGAAATCAATAAGAAAAACTCCCTTCCCATTGTTGACAGCTGGAGATCTACTCCTTAAAAGGCAAGAATTATTTCTTTCCTTCCTTCCCTCTCCTTCTCTTCCCCTCTTCTTCACTTTCCTTCCCTTCCCCTCTCCTTCCCTTCCCTTCTCTTCTCCTTCCTTACCCTTCCCTTTCCTTCTTTCCTTACCCTTCCTTCTTTTTTTCTTGTTTCCCCTTCCTTCCTATTTTATTTTCTAAATAAAAAGCATTTGCTTTCTCTTCTTTCCATCTGCTGCCCCCAAAACGGGAAAAAAACCCCAAAACCCTTATTAAAAATGTGCATAGTCAAGCAAAATAAAACCTCATGTTGGCCATTTCTGAAAATGAGTCTCATACTCCATCTTGAATCCATCACTGCAGTGTTGGGAGGTGAGGAACATACGTCATTCTTAGGAGACTGCAATCATGGTTCGTTATTGCGTTGATCTGAATTTTTAAGGAAAATACAAGCACTATCTATAATCCATTATGAATGAGATTATCTGCTCTTATTCAGTGAAGACAGTCCGAACCACTCTATTTAGGTGAAAGAGGTAAGATACATGCCCCAGGAAGCTAGAGGCAAGTAGTGGTCTTTGGCACAAATTAGTGTCAGGGACTGGAGCTTTGATTTCATTGGTTCAGAGAACTCCCTAATGAAGAAACTCCCTCTACCATCAGAGCTATGAGTGGTTAAGTGATTGGCCCAAGGTCACTTGTGTGAATGTGTCAGAGACAGGATTTGAATTCAGGATCCTGGCTTTAAGACCATTCATCTATCTGCTATGTTGCTTCTCAGATAATCATTTGTTTGATAAATATGTTCCATACCAATTTTGAGCAAATAGGGTTTTTATAAATTATATATTTTAAATGCCTTAAAGAAGCTCACTATTCAAAGGAATACTTTTATGGAATAGATAATTATCTCCTGGATATTAGCTTTCTTTTTAAAAAAATTTAGATTTAAGGTCTTCTTAAAGCAGGGCACGTCTGCATCTGTAGTTACTATTATAGATTTAAAATTAGAACTGAAAGGGACCTTCAAGATCATCTAGTTGAACACCATCTTTTAACAGTTGAAGGGAAATGCCTTATCCAAGGTCACATATGTAGTAAGTAGAAGAGCTAGGATTTGAACCCAGGATCTTTTGTTCCAAATCCAGCTTCTTTCTCCTGCTGCCTCTCAATGAAAGCCGCTTTTATGCTGCTTCAAGTTTTAGTGTTCCTTACAACATCCCTATGAGGTAGGCAGTGGCAGCATTATTATGCCTATTTTACAGATGAGGCTTGGAAAAGTTGAGCCACTTGGCCAGGGTCACACAGTAAGAGCTAGAGTCACAATTCAAACCCAGGTCTTATGACTCCAAGTGTAGTGCTGTTTCCCTACCCTGTGTCTCCTCTCAAGCAGCTACCTAGGGATGTTCCTGTTTTGTTCCAACTGGATTGGGTCTTCCTTTCAGGGTGTTTTATGACCACGAGCTGGAGGAGGCAGATACATTCTACAGGAGCCTCCCCCAAATGGTGAGGCTCACTTTGGAGCTGTACAAGCTGATTGAGTCCAAGTCTGAAATGCTCTGTTACTTCGTGATCATCCTAAACCACATGATTTCAGCTTCCATTCTGACACTGGTGCTCCCCATTCTGTGCTTCTTGTGGGCTATGCTTTCTGTTCCAAGACCTCCTAAACGTTTCTGGATGGCTGCTATCTTTTACACAGAGGTAGGACCAACAGAAGATAACACTCTCATGTTGTTGTTATTCAGTTGTTTTAGTTAGTGTCTGACTTTTCATGACCCCATTTGGGGTTTTCTTGGTTTGCCATTTCTTCTCTAGCTCATTTTTCAGATGAAGAAACTGAGGCAAACAGGGTTAAGTGACTTACCCAGGGTCACAAAGCTAGTAAGCGTCTGAGGCCAGATTTGACCTCAGGTCTTCCCAACTCCAGAGCTGCCACTCTAGCTGCCCAGAGCTCACATACTACCATGCTATCACTTGCCATACTTTTCTCTTCTCTAACCTCCCCTTCAGATCTTGCAAACAATGCACTAGCTTTCAAGAGTCAAAATGAAATCACAAATGGATTTTTCTAAAGGATAGGCACAGCAAAAAGGCATTGTGGCATAATGGATAGGACTTCCCCCTTTCTGATTACCTTCAGATACTCTGTACATGTCTTGTTATGTGTCTCGATGTTAACATGTTGTCACCCCCACTAGAATGTCTGTTCCTTGAGAGCAGTGACTGTGTACGTACGTGCGTATTTGTGGGTGTTTGTAATTTTTTGTATCCCTAGCTCTTAGCACAATCTTGGCGCATACTGAGCACTCAGCTGTTGTTTGTCCTCCATTTTTTGAAAAGGACCAATGACTTCATGGGATGATGTCTTGACTTAAAAGTGAATTGGATTTAAGTGAGGCAGAGTTACACAAAGTCATCAGCCTCATTCCCTCTTCCTGAGTCATCAAAGTCCAGTGGCAAGGCAAAAGTCAAGACCACTGAAAATGGCCCCAGATGCAGTGGATGACCTTGGTGTCTTTGAGGTCTGACCAAGCTCGAAACTCTCCACAGCACCTTCATGGCCAATGGAACAAATTGTTCTCATCCACCCATTGTACTAGAGCAATTCTTCACATGCTTGGGGTAGACATCCCCCTAACTCACCAACAGGTTTGAGGCCTGCCAATTACTCTGGTTTAGCCCATCTGAGGAGACTGTTTAACGGGATGTAGTCACCGCTCATGTGACAGCTTTGTGGAGCCACAAGTGAGAATTAGATGAATCAGGTAGACACCAAAGGTGGATGAGCAGCCTTGAAAAAGGTTTGGCAAGCCCTCACACCAAAGGTGCTAATCCTCCTGAATACTCCACACACCCCAATAAATGCCTATTGACTGAATGATTGATTGACTGTCTAGATGGCTGAGTGGCCTTGGCATTAAAAAGACCATAGTTCTAACTGGCACATATGGCTGTATGGCCCTAGGCAAGTCATTTAACCTCTTCGTGCCCATGGCAAATTTCTAATGCTGTAAGTCATTCAAATTCAAATAGTTTTTAGTCTACCTCAGTAGACAGAATTTTCTCACTGGAAGTTCCCCACACCAATTAAATTACTGAGCTGGATGCCTAAAAAAGAAAATTATAGCCTCAGCACACAGACTTGTACATAGTAGGCATTTAATAGATGTTTGTTTAATTGAATTAGAGGCACTTAATAAACATTTCATGGAGATAAAGACTAGACTTGTGATTTCATTGATATAGGGAACTTCCAGTGGGAAAACTCCCTCTATCAATGCAGGTTGACGCCTTCTCTGCAACTTTTAGCCATAGAGAGCAGTCTGGGGCACTGTAGAATTAATTGACTTGCCTAAAGTCACATATCGAATATATATCAGAGGCACAACCTGAATCCAAGTGTTCCTAGCTTTGAGTCCAGTTCTCTACTATCATTTTAACGTTGCATAGAATTTTAACATCTCTTTTAGCCATGACATTCTTTAAGCTGAAAGAAGCATCTTTGGGACTACCAAAGCAGGAATAAAGAAGATGAATGATTCAGTTTCTGAAAGAGCACACAGTCTAGTAGGAATGATAAAGTAAGTATAGAAGTAAATAGAAAACAAGATTGAATGGAACAAATGCCATAGGAGTTCAGAAGCCGAAGGGGTCACTTCTACCTTACAGAAGATCAGGAAAGACCTTGAGGAGAAGGTAACATTTGAGCTGGATCTTGAAAGATAGGGCAGATTTCAAATTTCATAGGCAGAAAGAAGAGGTAGGGTTCCAGGTAGAGGAAGATGACTAGTCTGGTCAGGCTATTTGAAAAAGTATGGCGGTGACCAGGAGTGGTACTTTGGGTGACAAAGGTATTTTAAAAGCATTTTCAGCATAAAAAGAGGACTATTCCTCAGCATAACTACCATGAGGAATGGTTTGGTTTTGGGGTAGTGGGCTGAGAGAACGTTGGAATTTGGCTACTATTTGGGAACTATGCCAAATCAATTGACAGGCAATAAATACTAGAAGAAATTTGGAAGCACAGACTTTTAGAGTCCAAGCCACACACATAAAAAGGAAAAGAATAAAGATCTCAAAGAAATTTTAGAAGGTTGAACAAAAGCATAGGATTATGGGTTTAGAGATGGAAGGGTCATTAGAGGTTGTCTAGTCCAACAGATGATGACATTGAGGCCCAGAGAGAGGAAGAAACATGTCCATGGTCACTTCCCTTCTCTTTTATGGACTCTAGCAGTGTCAGACAGCAGTATCCTGAGAATTCAGCATGATGTTGGTTATTTTTTTCTCTCTCTCTTATTTCTACAGATAATACCCTTTAGAGAAACCTCTGGTCTAAGAAAGACTAATTTTAGACTAAATAAATACTTTCAGCTGGTTTTGTGTGTTCTCCCTTCCCTTCTCTCTCTTCAGGCAACAGTAGTGGTCAAATATTTTTCACAGTTTGGATTCTTTCCCTGGACCACAAAGCTCTATGCAGGCATACATGGAGAGAAGCCATTTTCTCTGCCAAATATAGCTGGAATTGAAAAGAAGAGTGGCTATGTCCACTATGACCTTGTGCAACTGTTGGCTTTGTTCTATCATAGGTCAGTCTTGAAGGTAAATGGCCCCAGAAGAGAATGTGTTCTTTGGAAATGGTTTCATTCACTTTATCATTTTCTGGCAATTCTTGTTTTTTAGAACCTTCTTGTTTTTAATGAAAAAAAAAATTAATTAGCTGGACTTCTCAGCTCCCGCATCGGACAGGCTCAAATCAACACCAGTATTCCAGATGAGAAAGCTGAGACACAGAATTGGCTGCTTGCCCTCCCCAAAGGCCCTCAAGACTGAGACTTAAATACTTTTGAATTTCTGACTCCTGATCAGAATGCCTGAAGGCATTAGTGTTTTTCATTCAGTGCATGGGTTTGTTTTAAAGATAGTTTTAAATCAGGTCTGTTTCTGGACTTTAAAATTTTTATTTTTAACTGCATTATATAATCCCATTGGGCTTGGTGCCAGGAATCCTTAGGAAACCAAATTTCCCCAAAAGCTCACTTCAATGAGATTTCTTCATAAAGATGAATTCCCAGAATTGCGAGTTTAAGACAGGAAGTAAATACAAAGAAATTCTTCCCTCTCCTCTTTCCTTTGCTGCTATTTCTTCAGACACGCCTCAGAGTACACACCCTATTTCTTTCCCTGCCATAGGTATAAACTAGGAATTTTTGTACCTGAGGCATGAATTACAAACCTTGCCTGGGCTGGCAAACCTAATGAAGTGTTCCCAGTTTTGGGAAGAGGCAGATACTACCAAAAGGGGGGGACCCCATGAAGCCACGAATGGGGAGACTTCCCATCCTCCTAAAACCCCAGAGGAAGCAAGCCATTTGGTAGTTTCCTATTTAAACTCTTCCTGTACTTGTGGTCTTGGAGTTCCAGAGTTGGTCTGTCAGTCATAGGTTTGAGCCCTGAGTCTGACACATCCTGGCCATGTACCCTGCACAGGTCACTTAATGACTCAGTACTCTAAGTAACTAAGACTACTAGTTGTAGAGTAGACTCTGACCTGTATCTTCAGAGGGAATTTTCTAACCTGTAATTCCCCTATATCAATGAAATTACAGGTCTGTTCTTATCCCCTTTTAACCTCATGCAGTCTAGGTAAGGTAGGCATTGCTCCCATTTTACAGATGCCCTTCTATAAAGCTGAACCCAAAATTAGTTAATCCTGGGGAGAGGGAGAGGGAGGGTGGTGGGAATGGGATGGAGATCGAGGGTGGAGACTAGACTTGTGATTTCAGTGGTATAGACAATGGCCCAGAGTTAGTGTCAAAGCAGGGACAAGAACCCACTTCTGACTCCTGGTCCAATGATCTTTGCCAGGCTGCTGAAATTTAGCTGATTTTGAGGCTTTAAGAGGAAAAGCTTTCAAGGCAAAAAACAGTCCTGGCAATGGGGGAAGTTAAGACATTCCCAGGAAGGCATTCTAGCAGAGTCTCAGGGGCTAGATCCCTCTCCTGCTTTGCCCTACCCCAAAGTGCTGGCACCCCCTTTATGGCCCCTTTCCAAGACATTCATTCGCTCACTCACTCACTCTTTCAATTAACATTTATTAAGCACCTGCTATGTGCCAGGCACTGTGCTAAGTGCTGAGAATACAAAAAAAGGCAAAAGATAGTCCCTGTCCTCAAGGAGATTACAATCTAACAGGGAGATGACATACAAACAACTATATACAAAGTCAGTTATATACTGGATAAATAGGAAATAATTAAAACAGGGAAAGCACTGGAGTTAAGAGGAGTTGAGGAAGGCTTCCTGTAGAAGGTGGGATTTTAGTTGGGACTTTCTGAGAGGCTCTGTCAGACTCAGGCCTGGAGAAGCACTTCCTCATTTCCTGTGCAGCCTGGCCCCCAGAGAGCTCAGAGGCTCAAGTACCATTGCTCCCTTCTTCACAGGGGGGTGGCATCAAACCATATTTTCAATCCAGTCCTCCTGTCCAACTTCTGGGTTTCAGATGTTCTGTATAACCCCACACATCCATTTTTAGTTGAGCAGAATTATGTGGCAGGGCTGGGGCTGGGGAGGGATATTGTGAGAGAGGTACCACCCCTCCCATTCTGGGATTCATGGGTTGTTTTCTCTGGGGATCCTTCAGCCTCTGTGTCCCCAAATCCTGCAGCGTCATCTTGGGCTCTTCACTGTTTGTACATAGCTTGTCCTTTGCTCTTGGGCCCATGGGTGTCTATTTTGGACTTGGGGGGGCGGGAGGGAGATCAGCAAAATATATACTCAAATACTTTCCTTCTTCCCTCCATCCAGAGCCTAGGACTATGGGATGAGCCGTCTTCTGGCCAGGCTAACTGCAAAGAAAAGAAAAAGATTAGGAAGTCCAAGAATCAACGACACAGCAGCAGAAAGCCAGGGAACCTCCCCCAGGGCTGGCAAGCAGAGCTTCATCCTCCTCCTCAGCCTGCCCCCTCCCTGTGGGCTTTCTGGAGAAAGAGACAAACACCTTTGGGTACAGGTGGGCTTCAGAAGAGAAACAAAAGGAGTAATAAAAACTCAAGATTTATTTCTTCATACATAATTCCCCAAATCTCGTTCCTTGTAGGGGCTTTGTTAGCAGCCTTGGTCTGGCTTCCTTACTACCAACTCCTCAGTTCCTTCCCTTCCTTCTTCCTCTGCCTCCTCTTTCTCCTTCTTCCCCTTTAGCTTCTTTGAGAAGTATATAATGGAAGGATATGGAGTCAAAGGACCTAGGTTTTATAAGTAGAGATGCAAGGGATCTTAGAGGCCACAGACTCCAATCCCCAATTATATAGATGAGGAAACTGAGGCCCAGAGGTTAAGTAACCTCCCCAAGGTTACAGCATTGTTAAGTGTCTGAAGCAAGATCTGAGCTCAGGTTTTCCTGACTCCCAGTTCAGCGTCTATTTATCACACCAGAATGGCTCAGACTATTTCATCCAGGCTAATCCTCTCATTTTGTAGTTTGAAAACTGGCTCTGTGGTGATAACCTCTCAGTGCCTCAGTTTCACCTTCTGGTAAATCAAGAGGTTGGATTAGATCTGAGCTTCTTAACTTTTTTTTGTGTGTGTAATGGACCCCTCCGACAGTCAGAGAAGGCCTACGGATACCTTCTCAGAATGTTTTTAAATACATAAAACATATGAGATTACCAAGGAAACCAATTATATTGAAATACAGTTATAAAATAGGTTAAGAATCCCCAGATTAGATGATTCTGTTTCCCAGTTGTACATCTGATGATCTTTTCTCCCCATCCCAACCCCCTTCCCAACATTTCCTTTCCATCCCCAGTCTCTAGTTGCATAATACAAAAGGGATAACCCTCAAAAATGTTCCTTTGCACTAGAATTTGACCTAGAGGATTGTGCCTGGCCAGACCCTCAGTCTTTTAGCATCCTCCTGTCCTTACCCCTCACTCTACCCCTAACCCCTCCCTGCCCCAACTTCCCTGTCTTTATTTCGAAAGGCCTCTAGAGGCCAATAAAGATCAAGGCTGGGGCTGCAAACATGACTTTCATTCTAAAGAATGTGGCTCTGTCCCTTAAATCAGGCATGTGCATTTCCCTCTAGTGGAAAAGAAGCCACTGTTACACTCAAGTAGGTTAGGATTTGTGGAGAGAGGGAGGTTCCAAAAGCGATCCCAAAAGAAAGATTGCTGCTATCTTGTGTCTTTCTCAGGAGAATTCCAGGACAGAAGAGCCAGGAAGATAAGGAGCTGGTTCAGGAAATTTCCAGTCAATGGAAGGCTGCTCACTGCAAGAATGCTAAAGAAACAGCTGGTGAAATCCAGAAAGTTGGCGACTCAAATGTAATTGAGAGGGTCGTTAGAGGAGGGGCTGGAAAGAAGAGCCTTAGACTCAGAATCAGGGGACCTGGGTTCAAATTCTGATGTTTTCACTATCTAATCAAGTCACCCTTGGGCAGAGTCCCTGAGAAATAGGGGAAGTCAAGTGGACTTTGTGATTGCTAAGATTTGTCAGTTCTGACATTTTATGGCCTAAGGGTCCTTCTATCTCTGGCATTGAATGAGTGAAGGAATGAATGAAAAGCATTTATTAAGCACTTACTTTGTACAAAAGATACAAATAGAAAAGCAGGATAGTCTTTACCCTCCAAGAACTCATATTCTAATAGGTGAAATAAGCTATATAAATGACTTCAGCTGCAAGATGGAAAAATCCCATGGTCCTTAGAGTACAGTAGCAATGCAATTGGTAATATATGTTCTTCAATGTCACTTCAAGTAATAAAACCATATCTGTTTCTGATGTTGAACCATTTGATAATGCCACAGACTTTGGTAACAAGAACTTTCTGAGGTCTTTTCTGGGTCTCCGGGAGCTGTAGCTGCTAAAGATGGGGCTATAGCATCCTTGAAGTTGGGCTTGGAGTCAGAAAGGCCTGAGTTTGAATCCTGCCTCAGAGACTTCCTAGTTGTGTGACACTGGGCAAGTCACTTAAGTACTATTTGCCTCAGTTTAGGGCAAATGGGGATAATGATAGCACTTACCTGATAGAGCTGTTGTGAGGATCAAATGAGTTAACATATGTAAAGCACTTAGCAGACCTGAGAAGCCCTATATAAGTGCTAGTGATTATTGTTGTTGTTGTTGTTGTTATAAGAAGATATTGACTGTGTCGTGAGGTCCCTTCCTACTCTGACAGTCTAGGATGAGCTGTATAGTTCAAGTGCAGGTCATCACTGCCTGTATCTTTGGCTCCCTAGTGCCCTCCAGATCTATTGGTCTATCAGACAGTTCTTCTACAACATCGTCCACCCAGAATTCAGCCCTGTGTGTGATGTCTATGCCTTCATGTTCCTGGTTGAGGGCATCAACTTTCTCATCATCATCTTTGGATACTGGGCCTTTGGAGTAAGCACGGTTTCTCTCTGCAACCTGCATGGCTCAGCACTCTGGCTTTCCCTGGGGACTCCTCAGAGCCTTGGAGCTCCCCTCTACCGCCACACTTTTAAGGACGGTGAATGGGGCACATGGCAAGAAGAGTATGGCCCTTGGCTTGCTGAATGGCAGCAGAGAAATCTTTTTGCTTTTTGCTTTAAATACCAATTTCACAGATCCCATTACTGAAATGGCTGTTGCTTTCTGTGTTATGTCCAAGGTTTATATTAAGTTGTTTTGCTGCTATTCTTAATTAAAGTGAAAGCTGGGAAACAGGACAAATGGTGACCACCGGCCATCTGGGCATCGATGATCGCTCTCTGCTGTCCTGGCAGATGGGCATGCCTATGAATTCTTCTTTCCCTATTCGTGTCCTTCCCCCTCAGCTCTATATGTGATCTGGGCTTCCTACTACTGGCTCACCATGGAGGTGAATAAAATAACCTCTGGAGGCACCAAGATAAGTGTCTTGGGATAAGAGGAGGGGGAAGAAAGGAAGCAATAGAACCTTTTTGAGTTGAGGCAATTCCCTTCCTTCTATACCCTGATCCTCTGTATCCCCTTCCTTAGATCTGCTCTGGGCTCTCTAGTCCTAGGAAGGCTGCCAACACACTCTGTGCTCATTGCCCAAGGCACCAGAACTTTAGTTACAGCTCTGCCCATCATCATCAAGTATTTACTAAATATCTGCCACGGTCAGAACACAGTGATAGACACCGTGTGAAATACAAAGAGGAAGACAGTCTGTGATGTTAAAAGTTACAGAATTTAGTTGGAGAGAATTCAATTCAACAAATATTTATTAATCACTTACTGTGATCGAGACACTTTGTCATTAACTCCTTACTGTTCTTCATCTTGCCTGGAATAAGTGAAAAGTTTTGCTAAGTAGTGGGAATGCCAGGATGAGAAAGGAGTGTAGTCTCTGCCCTTGAGGAATGTGTGGAAGACATAAACAAGAGGAAAAGGAAGGGAAGGGAAGAAGTGAGGGAGGAAGGAAGAAAGGAAGGAAGAGAGGAAGGAAGAAAGGAAGGAAGATAGGAAGGAAGGAAGAAAGCAAAGAGCCAAGGCAGTATAGTTTGTGGTTAAGTGAATTGTGATTGTGTGAGGTCTGTCCTTTTTTCTTGAAGAGGACTATGATATGACTTGATTTTGAATTTGATGTGAGTGAGGGAGGGCCATGCAAAGTCACCAGCCTCCCTTTCTCCTCCAGAGCCATCCAGTGGCCAGATATCGATCAGGACAACTGAAATGTGTGTAAGACATAAACAAGAGGAAAAAGGAGAGAAGGAAGGAGAAAAGGGAAGGGAAGAAGTGAGGAAGGAAGGAAGGAAGACAATTCAAATTTAATCTAGTGACTATTGTTAAGCACTATGTGCAAGGCACTTCTGGGTACTGGGGATGCACAGTTAAAAAAAAAAAGTGATAATCCCTGCCCTCAAGGAGTTTACATTCTATTGTACCAGAAGTACTGTGGGAGTTAAGAGAGGCAGAGACAGAGAGAGTGGAGTGGGCCTCAGGCTGAGAGGATTTAATGTATATGGTAGTGCTTGAGCTGGGCCTTGGAGGACGGAGAAAATTTCAATAGGGAGAGAGAGTAAAAGGACATTATAGGTTGAGGGAATGGAACGGACACAGTCATGGCAGTGAAAAGTGTAAGGTACAGCCAGTGGACTGTGAGGAAACCAATTTGGTAGGAGCAAAGGCTTATGTTAGGTAGTAGTGGACATAGATCTTAAGAGAAAGGTTGAAGAATGATTGTGGAAGGATTTGGGAGTATGGAGTAATAGAAGGACCATTGGATTTAAAACATGAAACTCGGTTTCAAAACCCAGCTCTGACATTTGCAACCTGGGTGATCTTTGCTAAGTCATGTAACCTTTGGACCTCAGTTTCCTGTTCTGTAAAATGAGGTGTTTGAATTGAATGACCTCTCAGGCCCTTCTTACTCTAAAATTCATTCCATCCTGTTGTCTTGGATAGGAGGCTAATGAGTTTGGTGTTTATTATATAGGAACTAGAGAGCCTTTAAAACTTTCTGAGCAAGATTGTTACCTGATCATGATGGTATCTAAGGAAAACCGACTTGTTTGGGTGGGTTGTTTCTGCCAGCCATTCCATATACCCTGAAGATTGTGTTTTCCTAACCAGCATTTCTCATCTTGTTAGAAATACTCAGCTGCTGACTTTTCTGAGACGTTTTCTGAGGATCAGGTACCAGAAGCTTTTTTGGCAATGATCCTCATACAATTTGGCAGCATGATTGTGGACCGGGCCATCTACCTGAGAAAAACCGTGATTGGCAAGTGCATATTTCAGGTTGTCCTTGTCATCGGAGTTCACTTCTGGCTGTTCTTCATTCTTCCTGAAGTAACCAAGAGGTATTTCTGATGGGGGACAAAAACAAATCAATGTAGGGGAAAACCTTTCATTTCATTTCCAAGGATGTGAAAAACCCAAAGTACTCAATGCTCCCATGTGGTTAAGTATGAGTAGTACAGACAGTTCAACTCAATTTAATCTAATGAGTATTATTATGCACTATGTGCAAGGCACTCTGCCGGGTACACAGTGGGAACAAGGAGAAGGAATGTTCATTGAGTCGTACAAACTTTTCACTGAAATGAGAGAGGCACAACCTTCTTGACTTGCTCAAAGGAACTTATCATAAGGTCAATGTCATGAGGCTAGCAGATCTCTCCTAAACAGCAACAGGACAGGGGAGATGTCTTAATGTTTTAGCTTCAAATCCCATTCGTTTGGCCAATGAGCATTTATTAAGGGTTTACTATATGCCAAGTACCTTGCTGAACTCTGGTGATACAAAGAAAAGAGAAAAAAAGTCCCTGCCCTCAAGGAGCTCATATTCTAATTGGAGCGTTATCGTATAAAATTACATGCAAGATATGTATGGAGTAAATGGGAGGTAATATCAGAGGGAAGGCACTAGCCATGGGGGGATGGGGACAGACCTTTTGCAAAAGTGAGTCAAGAACTTTTGAACTGAGTCAAGAAAGTCAGGAGGTCGAGGTGAAGAAGGAGAGTACTCTAAGCATGGTTGGGAAACTGCCTTGAATGGATACTTGAAGACTTTCAGTATCTAATACTGGTGATTAGGGACAGGATTGGTGCTAATGCCTTGTGGTAAAGATGGCTGGAGGCTGGCCATCCTTTGAGCTCCACCATGCCTCTCCTAGGGAAGCCACTGGCAGTGACTATGGTTGGAGTGGAATATATTTTTCTCCAGTTTCTGTTAGGAAGTTGGTAAAAGACCAATTAGATGGCCTTTAGTGATCCAGTTAAGTAAGTCAGGGGAATAATAAACTTAGTATAGAAAGTGCTTGCCTGGGGAAACTATGATGTTACTACCTACTACACTGCCTTCCCTACACTGAGAAGCCTTTGTCAGAAATGAGAAAAGAAGAATTAAGAGGCTATAATGCTATACTATCATAGATTAAAAGCCTATTATGATAATTTAAAGAAAGAATTAAAAGTAGAAGAGGACTGCAGGTGTTCTGACCAAAACTCTGACCAAAATCCCATTCAAACAATATAGTTTAGTATAAGGATTTCCACATCCCTCTCTCCACTACACAAAGAACAACTATTATCATAATATTGTTCATGCTTTGGTTTACATATCTATCTATCTAATAGAAAAAATACTACATTTTGATCAAATTCAGAGACCTGTGTGTTCAAGGCCCAGCACTCCCATTCACTATGTGTATAGCTTTGGATAAGTCATTTCAACTTATGTGACTCTCTTTCCATTTCATCCTCTGTAAAACGGATGATCTCTAAGGTCTCTTCCAAATCTAAAATTCCTATGCTGTTGCCTTCTCTAGGCATTAGGGTCTGTTGCTGGGACCAAAAAGGACTTGATGCCAAAAGCAGTAGGCTCCTTTATTTGGCTCACTTAAAGGAATGTCCGGAAGGGAAGGCCCCATGACCTAGCCATCCAAGGAAGCACAGAGAAGAGAGTTAGGATGACTGGGAAAAGGTATTAGGGCAATCTTTGTAAAGCTGGGCTGGGACAGGGCAGGGAGGGAATGCAACCAGAGATGATGTTAAAGAGCCTTGGCCTTATGGTCTTCAGACCATGGCAGAAGGAGGAATCCACAAATGGTCTTGGCCTCCTCGGTTCACCTTCATGCTAAACTTCACAGGGCAGCTCCAAGATTAGTGAGGCTCTGAGATGTTTTCCCACCCCCCCCAGGTAGGGAAGCGTCAATTGGCTAGGTTTCCCAGAAAGGGGGCAGGGCTAAAGAGGGGGGATGGTTTGGGCATAGAGAGTTTATTGGATGAGAAAGACTAAGCCAGAAAAAAAAAAATAGTTTTTCCAGGTTACAACAACAGGGCAGGGGTTATTCTCTCCATGACACAGATGGAAAACTGAGGCTTCTGGGGTTTACCAATAACAGATTTTTCTGTTTACTTGCAGGAGGTTCAGTGCAAACTATGTGGCTCAGATTTGGTACCTGGTCAAATGTATTTACTTTGGCTTGTCAGCTTATCAAATCAAATGTGGCTACCCAAGTCGTATCCTGGGCAACTTTCTGACCAAAAACTTCAATTTTCTTAACCTCTTCCTATTTCAAGGGTAAATAAGAAGACTTCACACCTTTCACAAAACCTTGTGTTGTCGTGGTCATTTACAGGAAAATCTCAGGGATATCTATGCCAGAACTGAATCTTCAACCATCTCTTGATTTTTCTAAAAGGATATAAGGAGTATTCTGAAAATTCTGGTGTCCGAGTGTTCAATTGAGCAACATCTGTTGTCTTTTATGACTCACAACTTATTCATGAGAGGGGACTCTAGGGCAGATCCTTCCAAGGGAGTGGTAGCAAGCCAGGCAGCGGTTCAGATATGAAGAAGCCTTGGTGGGGGGGGGGGGGGGTTTCTATGAAGTGCAAACTCAATATGTCAACATTATGATGTGAAAGCCCAAAATGCAAATGTGAGTTTTGGCTGCAGGACCAAAAACATTCTGAATAGAAGTTGGGAATGTTGGAGGTGATAACCCTGCTATCCTTTATCCTAGTCCAATAGCATCTAGGATTTTAGGTTCAGTTCTGGATGCCATATTTTTAAGGACTTTGACATGCAGAGAGTAGTCAGAGGAGGCAACCGAGACAATTGATAAGACTTGTCACACACACGAGTTTCAGCTGAAGGAACTGGGGCTGTCTTGTCCGGAGTAGAGGACTTTGGGGGTGGAGTAAGGAATACGACAGTTTTATTTTCAATATCTGATGGACTGTTATGATATGTAACAGTTACATGTGCTTTTCTTGATCCCGGAGGAAAGAAATAAGAGCGGTGGGGAGATGCTGTGGAAGAACAGAATTTGGCTGGATATAAAGGGAAAGCTTCCTAGCACCTGGAGCTGTCCAAAAGTGGAATAGCTGCTTTGGGAGGTAGTGAACTCCCCATAATTGGTAGAAGGGATGTCTGTTCCAGTAGAGGTTGGACAAAGTGACCTCTGAGGTCCTTGCCAACTCTGAGATTCTGTGAAATGATTTTTAAAAATAATTGTATGCCATAGGCATTCTCCTTGTTGCCCCCTCCTCCCTTTGCATTCTGCATTTCACAAACATTCCCTTGGGGTGTGCCACCTGATCTCGCCCTCCACATATTCTTCCAACTCCACATCTGGCTGGTTCGCCTGCAAATACACTTTCCCTGTTGAGGTTCCTCCATACATAGGGAATGGCTTCAGAAGAATATAGGAAGAATAACAATGTAAACATGATAGGATGGTTTAGAAACACCTACAATGGGGACTGATATCTGCTTTAGGAGTGACAACCCTCCTCCCTTCAAGCCCTGGATGAGAGTTCAGTCCTTGGGACCTTGAGGGGTGAGATGGCAGATAATGGAGCAGATACCCTGGATTTTGTCTCCTCTCACAGTTTTCGAATTGTGCCTTTCCTTTTGGAGTTGAGAGCGGTTATGGACTGGATATGGACTGACACTGCCCTCAGCCTGTCTAGTTGGATCTGCCTGGAGGACCTATATGCCAGTGTTTTCATCATGAAATGCTGGAAGGAATCTGAAAAGGTATGTGATCATGTTGTTGTTTGACTCTTTCTGAGCCCATAGGGGTTTTCTTGGCAAAGTGGTTTGCCATTTCCTTTTCCAGTGGATTAAGACAAACAGAGGTTAAGTGACCTGCCCAGGGTCACACAGCTAGTAAGCGTCTGAGGCTGAATTTGAACCCAGGTCTTCCTGAATCCAGGCCCAATGCTTTATCCACTGAGCCACCAAGCTGCTAACTTTTTTTTTTTGGTTGATTAGTCATGTCTGACTCTTTGTGACCCCATTTGGAATTCTCTTGGCAAAGCTACTGGAGTAGTTTGCCATTTCCTTCTCTTTCCTTCTCATTTTACAGATGAGGAAACTGAGGCAAACAGGGTTAAGTGACTTGTCCAGGGTCACACAGCCAGTAAGCATCTGAGTCTAGATTTGAGTTCAGGTCCTCCTGACTCAAGGGCCAATGCTTCTTCCACTGCACCACTTAGCTGCTTCATAGCAATTGCCTTATGTAATACTGGTTGGCTGCTTTTCTGGTTTATAGCAGAGCTTGATGTGGAATAGTCTGATTACTGATTACTGTCATTCTGTAAATTCCACCCATTCCCATCAGCTGCTGTCCATCAAGGAGGGGTGGAGAAGTAGTGTAGGAGAGTGGTAAGAGTAATGGATTGGGCATCAGATTACTTGTTTGAAACATACCTTCTTTGAGATGTTGAGTAAAGCACATCTTCCTTCTTGCCTCAGTTTCTTTATTTGTAAAATGAAGTGGGTTAGATTTGATGATTTCCAAGATTCCTTCCAGTTATGAGTTCTGTGATCCTGAAATGACACCCTTCCCTTCCCCTCGTCCTCTATTCCTCAATCCTGGCATTGAGCCCCTCCCATCCCTGTCACTGAGACCTCTGCTTAACATTGTTTACAGAATTGATAGCTCAGCCTAAATCCTTCCACACTCAACCAATAGCCATTGCTCTCAGCTTGGATCTAACTAGGTCTCAGCCCTGGGCATGATTATCCTTCCTGGCCTCATGGAGCTCAGGGTTAGGAGTCCCTGGATCAACCTTCCTTCATTGCTCACCCTTCCTCCCCCCACCATTTTAAACTACCATTAGCTATTCCTTCCATTTCCAATCTGCTTTTGTCCAGCCCGAGGAGAGCAGGCCTTCATCTCCCTAGTTGGTGTAACCGTGTTCTTCCTTTCTCTCTGTTCCCCCTCGGCCACCCTTATTCTTCTCTATAGAAATACCCCCATCTACCAGGGCAGCAGCAGAAGAAGATTGTGAAATATGGACAGGGAGGTGTTATTACTTTGGCCCTGGTTTTCCTCATGTGGTTCCCACTGGTTTTCATGTCTCTGCTGAAGTCAGTGGGGGGAGTGACCAACCAGCCCCTGGATGTCTCCATCAAAATTTCCATCAGTGGTTATGAGGTAAGGAAATGGGAAGAGGAGCAAGGAAAATGGTGGCAGTGGGAGAGTGGGATTTAGATTAACTTTCATGGGTCTCCATTATTTGTCTCCAGCCAATCTTTCCTAACCCTCTCATTCATTCTTCCGTAAATCAAACCCTCTATTCCCACCAAGTGTGTCTTCTCACTGTGCTCCTGCATACAGTAGGTCCAGTGTTTGCTTATGCCATCCATCTTCTATGCCTAGAATTCCTTCACCATCCTTACGGCCTCTCCTAATACTACCATTCTTCTGGGCCCATATTCATCTCTGACTCCTCCAGCACACACTGATAACCCTCTTCTCTCACCACCTATGGTTTGAACCACACAATTTAGCACCTATTTGTGTCCAAAGGCATAGAAAAAGACAGCAGGGTGTAGTGGAAGTCCAGTGAGTATTGGAGTCAGAAGAGCTGGCTTCTAGGCCACATTCCAGCATGTCATAGCTCCAGGAACTCTGGATAAATCACCTAACTGCTCCAGTCTTCAGTTTGCTAATTCAAAAATGAGGATGGTCATGTTGATATTACCTACCTTGTTGTGAAGAAAGCACACTGTAAACTTTAAGACATGATAGAAGTGTTAGTATTGTTACATCTTTTTCTGTGAACATTTGTGTGTGTGTGTGTGTGTGTGTGTGTGTGTGTGTGTCTTGCCTCCTCGGTGACTCTTGACTCCCCCCGAGGCACTAGCAGGTTCCTTCTGTCTCCACAGTGTGAGTAGCCCAAAGCTAGATAGATACACAAGAAGTAGATGCTTAGTGTACACAGTGTCCCCAAAGTTCTGGTGTGGTTTTAAGCTTTAACAGCTACTACAAATATGTTCATTGGTGCTAAAGCTTTTCAGAACTATTAAACCTTAATATGAAATACCAATATTAAAGCTATTTAATAGCTATTACAACTTAAAAGTGCACTGAAACTTTTGGGATACCATGTACACTTAATGAATGACCATTGCCCAATGGATGTATTTCAGTGTCATTTTCTTTTCCCCTTTTCCCTAGACCCTTTTTACCATGAGTTCTCAGCAGCAAAATCTTATCCCGTTCTCTCAGAAAGCATTTGACAACCTGACAGCTCAGTATGCTTTCCATCCGGTAAGTGTCTCTCAAAGCACCAAGAAATCACCTGCTCATGAAGATTCTGTTCTCCTTCCATTGTTCTTTTCTCCCTTCTCTTAGCTCACTTAGTGGAGGGAGGGTACCTGCATAGCTAAGCACCGAGAAGGTAAATCAGGATTTGGTATATTCTCTTGGAAGGTCCTTAAAGATGGCTAAGGAGACCTTGCATTTTCAGATTAGAAGAGAACACTTTTGCATTTTGGTTTTTTTTTCTTTCATTCTTCATGTGGCACGATGGAAAGATCCCTAGGCTAGAAGCCAGGGGATTTGGGTTCTATTATCATCCTTGCCATTAACTTGCTAGGTGACCTTGGGCAAAATTTCTTCTGTTCTTTGGGCCTCAGTTATATCATCATCATCATCATCACTAACATTTATATATGCCTTGAAGGTTTACCAGGTAATTTGCATATGTTCCCTCATTACCTCATTTAATCCTTATAACAAGCCTTGTTAGGGAGGAGCTATTATTATCTCAAATTTTACAGATGAAGAAATTTAAACCTGAGAGAGGTTAAGTGACTTACCCAGGGTCACACAGCTAGTTAAATGTCTGAGGCAGGTTTAAAACTCAGGTCTTGCTGACTCTAAGTCCGACAATCTATCCACCATGCCACATATCTGCCTCTGTATAATGAGAGGCTTGATTTAGAGCAGGGGTTCTTGACCAGTTTTGTTTTTGCATTATAGGCCCCTTTGTAAGTCTGGTGAGGCCTTTGGAGCCTTTCTTAGAATAATATCTTTAAATGCATAAGGTAAAATAGATAAGATTACAAAATACGAGTTATCAAAATACGAGAAAAAAAATTCACAAACCCCTGTTGGATGGTCTTTGTGGTCTAGGGCTCATGTCCTAGGATTAAATAGTTCACATTCCCCACTCCCCTTTTCCTTTCCTCCCCTCCCTGCCTCCCAGGCTGCCATGCAGTTCATATCGAACTATCATGCAGAGGATATCACTGTGGCGAAGATCAAAAGTCATGCCAGCCTCCTCTGGAACATCAGCCCTGCCAACCGGGCAGCCATGATCACCGAGCTCTCCACTGCCACGGCTGTCTATGTCACCTTGATGTGGACCATTCAGAGGTAACTAGGGATCTGTTTCATCCAGGACACTTTCTGCATGTCTGAGCATCTGAAGGCAGACATTTCAGGATCTTCAGTGGGGATTTCAGTCTCTTATAGGGTACTGCACAGAGGAATGTACTTAATAAATGTAGCTTTGATTCATTCCTTAGTTGCTCATTGACCTAGAAGTCCTTGTCAGGAAGCATTCAGGCCACTTTTCTCCCAGAGGTGGATAGAGGCAGGAAGCGTCGGGGACTCCTGAGGAAGGGCAAGCCTGCAGTTAAACCACCAGAGAGGTGCCTGGGTTGGGTTGGATGCTTGCCAGGAAGAGGCACACGATCATTTTTCTTCACTCTGTCCTTACAACTTGGCCTCTATACAAACAACATGTCTGTCTAGGGAGCCAATAAGATCAGAGGGTTTTAAAGTTGGGTGGGACCATAAAGATCACCCAGTCTCACCCCTTAATTTTACAGATGAGGAGACCTAAGACCAGGGAAGGTGACTTGCTCAAGGCCACGCTGGCAATAAGGAGAACACTAAAATGAGAAGTTAGACCTCCTCTCCAAGTCCAGTGCTTTTTCCATTACACCCTCTGAATAATTACACTTCACACACACACACACACACACACACACACACCCATACACAATTAGTACCACACACACAGCTGGATGTATGCTTTGAGCCACTCCCTCGGTAGTGTGGATGACTTTACACATCCTGGCAATCGTCACATATAAAGGGGAAAGAGGGTTCATTGGATCAAAAATTTTGAGGTAGAAGACACCCTTAGACATCACTGGGTCTAACTCCTCATTTTATAGATAATGAAACTGAGACCCAGAGAGGCTAAATTACTTATCCAAGGTCACTTAGCTCATGTCAAAGAAGGGATTTGAACCCAGGTCTTCTGGTTTGTGGGGTAGCTAGGTGGTGCAGTGGACAGAGTTCTGGGCCTGAAGTGAGGAAGATTCGAATTGGAATCTGGCCTCAGACACTTACTAGCTGTGTGACCCTGGGCAATTCACTTAACCCTGTTTGCCTCAGTTTCCTCATCGGCAAAATGAGCTGGAGAAGGAAATGGCAAACCACCCCAGTATCTCTGCCAAGAGAACCCCAAATGGGGTCACGAAGAGTCGGACATGACTGAGCAACAGCAACAACTTCTGGTTTGCAAGTCCAGCATTTATTCTATCTACTATACCAGGCTATTTCTCTCTTTTTCTGATTAGATTTGTAGTTCAGGAGTGTGCATCATAATAATTATTATTATAATAATTCACATTTACGTATAGATAACTTAAGATTTATAAGGTGCCTTATTTAATTATACAATTTGATTCTCACAACTCAATGAAGTTAAGCACCATTAGTATCCCATCTTATAGATGAAGAAACTGAGGCTCAACAAGGTGAAATGACTTGCCTATAATCACTCAGTTAGTGTGTAAGGTAAGATTCAAATCCAATTAGCAGTTCCTAAGTTTCTGAACCACAGAAAGTTAGAGTTAGAAGGGCACTCAGGGATCACCTAGTACCATGCTCTTATTGTATGGTGGAGACTGAGGCCCAGAGAGGCAAGTCAACTAGCCCGAAGTGGCAGGACTCAAAGCATGGTCTTCTGACTCCATGACCAGTGCCCTTTCCTCTCTTTACCATGCTGCCTCCTAAAATGGGTCCCACACATGTCCCATACATCACAACTTTCACGATTTAAACACTCTGTTCTGTCGGAGAACTTGTATTGTTCCTTTGAAACTGTGTAGTCAAGAGTTAACATGGCCCCATTACTGGTTGGGAAGGGAAAAGCATTCTTGTTTGTGTGTATGCCAGGGGTGGGGAACCTTTGGCCTTAAGGCCTTGTAGGTTCTCAAGTGTGGCCTTTTGATTGAAGGTTTCCCACCCTTGGCATATGCTGTCCTGCTCCTGGTCACACATAGCATGAACTTCCCCATGTCTGCACCCACTGGTTTGCATCTCTGATGAAGAAACAAAAGGAGAAAGTTAACATATACCTATCCATAGAGTTGGGAGTTACTGATTATAAGCCCTCCAGTTCTGAGAGAGAGCCTTTTGACCCTGGGCAAGTCACATCACTTCTCTGTTTCCTCATCTGCAAAAACGGTAATAATGATCCTTGCATGACTAAGCTCACAGAACTGTTCTAAGGAAAGTTCATATGTCTCACAAGTTCCTGCTATGAACGGCTTGGTCCAAATTCATCCCCACTGCTTGGAGGATGCACTCTGCTGGTGGGAGGCCAGGGGACTCCCATGGCACCTAGACAGCCTCTGTTTTATTTCTCACCCCAGTTGTGAAGACTGAATGGAGAAAAATGATTGCGTTATCCCCCAGCCACAGAAGGAACCCTAAGCTTTCTTTGTCTTGTGGATGCCCAGGCTGACAGGCAGGAGACAGGACTAACTTCCTGGTGTTTTAAGGGCTTTCATCCCTTAAAGTTTCTTCACACAGAGAACATTTACTTACTCTGTAAAAAAAAAAAAATAACAAAACAAAATTTTAAAAACCTCCAAATTTTTGAAAGTTTTTATATTTTATTTTTTCCAATTACATATAAAAACAATTTTAAATATTTTTTTTTAATTTTAAGTTCCAAATTCTCTCCCTCCTTCCCTAAATTTTTGGAAATCATAGAAAGGGGGTTTGAAGTTCATCTTCCTGAACCTCCCAAAAAATGTATTTTTAAGGGAAGATCAGTTGAGGGAAAACTGTGTAGTTTTTCTATTTTGTCCTTGAGAGAAGCCTTATTCAGCGCCAGATTGTTGTGGAGTAATTACCACCCTCTGGTGCCTGCAGAGCACTCCTCTCTGGTGCAGTGCTCTGCTCTTTTCACCTAGCATCTTGGCCTTGTCTGTTTGTCCACTCATGGCTGAACAGCTGCAGAGGGCAGTCAGTTAGGACCATGAGATTTTAGGGTTGAAAGGAACCTCATAGAGGTCATCTAGTCCAATCTTCTCACTTTACACATTGGAAACTGAAGACCATAGAGGAGAAATGACTTGCCCAAGGTCACACAATTGTGGCAGAGCTGGGATTTGAATCCAGGTCTCTTGATTATAAATCCAGTGGGTTTTCCCCCCACTGCCTAATTTCTAAAAGTTACTGGTAAGCAGCATGCCTATGTTTTAATCAGTATGCCTATTTAATTCGTTCAGAAGCAGTTATCTCTGTCCTGCATAGAATTTTAGGGATAATGTCAAAGGACCTCGGTTCAATTCCCAGCCCTGTTACTTATTGTTTATGAGACTTCGGCAAGTCCTTTCCCACCCCATCCCTTCCACCCCCAACCTCAGTTTCTCCCTGTGTAAAGTAAGGGGGAGTGGTATGTTCAAACAAAATGATCCATAAAGCCCCTTCCAACTCTAATCCTATCTATGATCCTAGAGGGACTGAGAGAAGAGAAATACAGAATAGAGAAGAAAACAATTTTCCTCCAGCATAGTCGTTTCTCTGTGGCCACTCCCCATCTCCTCTGGCTCCTCTGGCTGCTGGGGCAGCTTGGGTGGGGTGTCCCCAAGGACGTGCCTGGGCTAGAGCAGCTCATGTTTTGAGGCTAGAAGTAATTAAGATTTCATTTCCCTTCAGTTGCCTGGTTGTAGCAGCTGGGGCCGGGAGGCTGGAAGCAAAATTTGAGTCAGAGCTTGGGAGGGGGGTGCAGGAAGCAGCCCTTTCCACCCTCTGGACTTTAGCTGGGGCTAGCTCAGCATTCCTCACTGAACTTCATCCTCCCCTTTCAGGAATGTCTCTATAGTCAAGAATGCTGAAGCATCCGGCAAGTACACCGTGTGTTACAAAGATAAGGAAATGAGAGATCAAATTGTCCAAATGCTTACCCACATCAGGAATGAACCCATGTAGGTATTTCCAGACTCTTTTTGTAGCTCCTTTAAGCTGTGGCCTGCTTTCTACTGAGCATAACAGAATAAATATGGGTGCTACAGAAAGCAAAAGTTATTTTTTGAATCTCTATCATCTTTCCCCTTAATGATACTAATTCCATGTCTTCTGATACAAAGTAAGGTCAAAGTCAGATTTCCATTTAGGATTTGTTGCTTGCTGTTTGTCCTTCATTCTCAAAGAGGACCATGACATCAGGAAGGAGACGTCATGACTTGCAGTTGAATTGGATTTAAGTGAGGCAGGCTGTGCAAAGTCACCAGCCTCACTTTCTCCTCCAGAACCATCTGGGTCCAGTGGCAAGATATAGATCAGAATGACTGGAGATGGAATTGAGGAAATGAGAGGCCTTGGCCTTTTTGAGCTCAGTCTTTCCCAGGTCTCAGTTTGTTTGAGGCAATGCCCATTCAGTGATTAAGGCTAGGTAAAAATGAGGCAAAAAAAAAAAATGGCCTCTTTTACCTAGCTAAAAAAAAAAAAAAATAATAATAATAAAATCAATCTGGGAGGGGAAGGCCCTCAGGATTTCTGGCCAAAACAGAAACAACTGCTATTTACACTCACTCAGAGCCATCTAAATCCAAACAATGACCAAATGAGCTTGGGCTGGGACCACTGTTGGCCAATCCATGAGAGCCAGAGGGATTTGGGTTTAAGGCGTGGTCCTTCAAAAAGAAATTTATCCCGTAAACTCTAAGATATGTTGTTAGGTTGCAGTGATCAAAATCTGTATTCCTTTAGGCAGAGCACCTTCAGGTAAGAGTATGATTCCCTATGTGGATGGAAAGAAGGAAGGAAGGAAGGAAGGGAGGGAGGGAGGAAGGGGAGGGGAGGAGGGAAGAAGGGAGAGAGGGAGGGAAGAGGAAAGGGAAGGGAAGGGAGGAGCTGCATTGCTTAACTGGAACTGGCCAGTCCCCAGTGGGGCGGCTACTACTGCTAGGATTTAAGATTAGGAGCAATGGGGAAAAGCAGCAAAGATGAGGGTTTGGGCCACATTAGTAATTAGAACTGTCCCAAAGTGAATTGTGGGTTCCCAATGACTAGAAGCATCAAAATGAAAAAGGCTGGATGATTGCTTGTTAGGAATGTTGCAGAGGGCATTCATTTAGGTATGGTTTGATCAAGCTGGCCTCTGTGGGCCTTTACAACTGTGAGACTTGGTGATTCTAGTAGATGCGCCTACTTCTCTTTTTTCTAGGACATCCTTGGGACTAGAAGGCATGGGCCTTCCTGATCCTAGGGTCTCTTCCTCTACCTTCTGAAGACTCCAACCTCTGGCATAGTTCTATTCTACCACCATTTAAAACAATATTCTTCTGTTCTTCCATTTCTCCCCTTTCATTTCCAAAGCATAGCAGCAATTCCCTCATAAAATAATCATAATACTAGCACCACTAACCTTACAGGGTTGTTACAGGGAAAATGCAAATGTCTCACAGGGGTCCCATGTGAGCATGAGGATGGTTTGTGGCAAAATCATCCCCACTACTCAAGAACTCCCCTCCTCACCCTCCCCTAATAGTTTCCAGGAATCTTACCTGTGAGAAGGTCTCCAAGAACAAGAAGAGACATTCCTGAAAGGGGAGGATGAAGTTCAGTGAGGAATGCTGAGCTAGCCCCAGCTAAAGTCCAGAGGGTGGAAAGGGCTGCTTCCTGCACCCCCCTCCCAAGCTCTGACTCAAATTTTGCTTCCAGCCTCCCGGCCCCAGCTGCTACAACCAGGCAACTGAAGGGAAATGAAATCTTAATTACTTACCACCTGCTACAAGGCTGGACCTTGAGGGAAGACCTTAAATGATTTGATTATGAACCTCTCTTAATATCCTTCTCTCTAACCTTTGATACTCTGCTTAGACTTATTCCTCAAGGATTAGCATATTCCATCCTTTTATACTTGCCCCATGCCTGATGCTTAACCCCTAGGTGTTGAGGTTCCTCCACCCCCACAGGCTGCTGTTACAGACTCAACCCTGCCCCACAGTGTCCCACTCAGGATCTGCCTGCATCTTCCACTATGCCCACTGGTATACCTGCTATGCAATTAACAAACTTTCTTCATCTTAAACCTCTTCCTTTCTCCTTCCATTTTCTGAAACTCACTGAAAACTAGCTCCCTTCTAATACCCTCACCCTAATTCCAGTACTGGCTGGACTTTTTCTCATACTTCAGGTCACAGTGGGAGAGTCAGGGTACTCTTTTCCCCCACTTGCTATTTCTAGACTCTCCTCTTCATGTTATCCAAGTTTGTCATCCATTTCATAACCTAGTGGTTGCTATCTCTTGATTCCTAGGACATTTCCCTTCCTTCCTTAATGAGTTCAGTACCTGGCTCAGTCTTTCCTCTCTCTATACTGCTCTCATCTTCCAAATGCCCTCACTTCCTAGTTCCTCAGTCTGCTCAGTTCTCATGACCTACTCCTTGACTTTACCTCAGCTACACAAAGAAATGGTCATTCCCTTGATCTTGCCATCACCCATGTTGTGTTCTCTTCCACATTCACTTACCCCAGAATTCCTTTATATGATCACAATCTTTTATCATTCTATCTTTGCCTATACCCTGTGACCCCTAACTTTGTTCTTTGTACTCACTGAGACCTTTATTCCCTCCACTCCTCAATTCTTTCCAAGGTCATTACCCTTACATTGGCTACACTCCCCTTGCTCCCTTATCTCAACTCCTAGGTTAACCAACCCAATTCTCTAACATCACCTCCTCTCAAATCTCTTATCATCTTGTTCTATTGCCAATCACACCTTGCCAAATCCCACCCCAGAATTACTCCCCCTATCCACCTATTTTGCACCTATTCCCATCCTGGAATGGAGGCAATCATGAAACCATGCTGAATGGGGCCAACTACACATTTATGTTATCTAATCTCAACTGAGTCCTCACTAAGCAAGACAATCATTCTACTCATCCCTAATTAATTTGCTATCTCACTCTCCGCCACAGCAGTTCCAAACCTTCTCATCTCTTCTCAAGCCTCCTACAGCAGTCCCTCCTCCCACCTTTTTTGCTGAGGACCTTGCCCCATATTTCCCTGAAAAAGAAAAATGGAAGTCATTCCCCAAGAACCTCTCTCCTTCTCCTCCCCCCCCACCTCCCACCCTGCCTACATCTCTCATCACTCAGACATCCTCTTCCACAATCTCCTCCTTCAATCCAGTCTTGGATCGAGAAGTGGCCCTTTTCCTTGCCAAGGCCAACTGTTCTATATGAACCTTTGATCCTATCTCCTTTTAACTACTCCAGCAGAATGACCCCACTCACTCTCTTATCTTTGGTCTCTATATATTGGCTTTTCCCTGCTGCCTACAAACATGCTCATATCTTCCCCATCCTTTAAAAACAACAACAAAACCCTTCATTTGATCTGACCATTTCTGTTAGTTATCATCCTATCTCTCCTCCCCTTCTCAATTAAACTCTTTGAGAAAGTCATCTATACTAGGTACTTCTACTTTCTCTACTCTCTCTTCTAAACCCTCTGAAATCTAGCTTCAAACCTATTCAACTGAAGCTGCCCTTTCTAACGTTACTAATGATTTCTTTATTGCCAAATCTAATGGCCCTTTCTCAGTCTTTATCCTTCTTGACCTCTATGCAGCCTTTGACTCCATTGATCATCTCCTCTCTCTTCTCTAGAGTTTCATGACACTTCTCTCTCCTGGTTCCTCCATCTGTTCAAATATTCCTTTTTAATCTCCTTGGCTGGTTGTTCATCAGTGTCACACCCACTGTGACCTGTTGCTCTTTCCTAAGACTGCCTTGTTCCTCTCTTCACTCTATACTTGGAGGTCTCATCGGCCTCATGGATTCACTTATCAGATGATTTCCAGATCTATATATCTAACCCCACTCTCTCTCTCTCCTGAGTTATCTAACATTACCACCTGCCTTTTGAACATCTCAAACTGGATGTCACATAGGCATCCCAAACTTAAAACAAAATAGAATTCATTATCTTTCCTCTATATCCTCCCCTCTTCCAAACTTTCCTATCATTGTTGTGAGCATGACTATCCTCCCAGTCACCCTAGCCTATAATCTTGGTGTTATCCTCATCTCCTCACTTTCACTCATCCCACATATACAATCCATAACCAAATCTTTTGATTTCTATCACAATATCTCATATGCATTCCTTCTCTCCACTCACACAACCACCACCCTATTTCTGGCTCTCATTGCCTCACATCTAGACTGTTGCAATCACCTCCTAATTGGTCTCCTGACCCCAACTCTCCCCCCACTCCAATTTATCTTCTACCTGGCTGCCAAAGTGAATTTCCTAGAGAGAAGATCTGACAATTTCATTCTCCCCTACTCAACAAACTCCAATGTTTCCATTTTGCCCGTTGGGCATTTAAAGCTCTTCATAATCCAGCCCCTTCCTACTTGCAGTTTTACAGCTTCAGAACTAGAGCCACTCTGTTGGAAGCTGGGCTTCCTGAATAAGACAGATACCTCAGTCAGATTTCAGGATTGATCCAGGTGGCTTCTGGCCTTCCTAGCACATCAAAATCCAGGCAACTGAATTTCAGAAGCTTCCATCTCATTACATGGAAAAGAATGAATCCAGTCACCAAACTCTTGGCTTCTAAATTAAAGAATCCCTGGTTACTCTTAAATTGATTTTTAAAAGTATGTGGGGGAGGGTGATTGGGGATTGAGATTTAAGAAGGCTTTAGAAATAATTTAATTTCTTTAAGTAGCCAATAGCATCACCATCAGCTTACCAGCATGTTTTATGTTGTGATCATGATAGAAAGTAGAAAAAAGTAGAAACAAAGTAGAACAAAATGAGCTAATTTTTTTTTCTTTCTCCCCTCTTGAAGAACTCTTCCTGGTCTGATCCCCAAAGCTCTGAGGACAACAGCTGGAACAGAAGCTAAGATTGCTCACCGGTTGGAAGTTGGTAAGACATTCAGTCCAATGGTCAGCTTCACATATGGCCCCAGACTTATTGTTCTTACTTACACTAAGGGGACCTCTTTTCCTATGGACCTTTTAGTCTGCTTTTGAACCAACTGAGCCCTGATCCTAACTGAACCTGGCTACGTTTTTGATTCCTCCCAGCTGAGGAAGACACTTTGCTTAAAGTGGAAGGAATAATTTGCTTTGGCACATAAAATGACTGCAATCTTGAAGGCAGAGAATAGAATGGGTGGGAGAGGTATGGGGAGGTCAGGGAACTGGACTGCTAATTCTGCGAGGTTTTCATGAAGGGTAGAAAAAAGAACATGGGATTTGGATTTAAAGGCCTGGGGTGAATCCTGGCTCTTTCACTTTTCATGTGTTCTTAGGTAAGTCACTTTACTACTATAGGCCTTTGTTTATTCCTTTGTAAAATGAGAGTTCTGAACTAGATGGCTTCTAAGATCCTTTCCAAATCTAAATCAATGATTCTTTGATGTTGGCCTTGCTTACATTGCTGATTCTAATGCTCTGGGAGGCAGCAGAGAGGCCTTATCACAGTTATAAACCAAAACCAAAACAATGTCCTACCTCTGCATGCTGCCTTGAACTCTTTTTGATTTGTTTCTTTTTTCCCTTACAAATTTTTTTGAACCAAACAATTGAGTATTTCCACATATAATGTAGAACAGGATTACACAAGAAACAGTGAATCCCTGTTGTGCACAGCTTGCCTTTCTTTTTAAGTGTATTATACATTCAATATACAAGTTCCAAAGCTTTTCTTTTCTGTGATTCCTTCTCCCTTCTTCTCATTTTTTGTTTCTTGGGAACTCTATTTCTCTCTCTACTCTCCCTCTTTCTCCCCCACCCCAAAGGGAAAAAAAAATCTTTGTATAATTTGCATAATTAAACAAAACAAATTCCTACACTCGCCCTGTCCAAAACCACTTCTCATTCTATATCGTGTCCATCACCTCAATGTTATCAGTAGCTTTTGACTTTTTAAAAAAGAGACCTAGAAGGAAACCTGTTTACTCCCTGTTTTGTTTTTTACTGGACCTGTGATTTTTTTTTTTTCCTGTTGGTAATTCCTGTTGAGGAAATTTCTCTAATTCGAAGTGGTACCTTTTTTCAATTTTTAGTCTCAGGTACTGAGTCTTATAGACTAGGCCACTAAGAGGGTGAGTTACCCAAGGTCACATAGCTATTATATGGCACAGGATCTAAACCTAGATTTTCCCAACTCTGCAGATATCTCTCTATTTATTAGGTCACACTACAACTCCTACCTTAGAACTTTTTTTTTTGGTGGGGGGGAGGCAATTGGAGTTAAGTGACTTGCCCAGGGTCACAGAGCCAGTGAGTCAGAGGTAAGATTTGAACCTGGATTTTCCTAGCTCTAAGACCAGCTCTCTAGCTCCTTCATCATGGCTGCCTCTAAGGCTAAAATACTGGAAGGAAATACCATGGAATACCTGTGCATGATACATAGGTATAGTCTCAGGATTTTCTTCAGGCTTGGATGAGAATGAAGGCCTTGTCCTTGAAGGATTGACTTTTACTCAGCGAGGAGAGGGTGTTAGTCTGCCTTGGAGTAAATCTTTGGTGAGTCCCTCTTTTCTTTCAGTCCATTCTGAAAAACCCCAGGACATCGACAAGCTGGCTTTCTACCGAAACATCACCATCCGGCTGCAGCAGCTGGAGGCCAATGCCTCATCCTCAGGCTCCAGGACCACTGAGTGGTGGGTTATCCAAGAGTGGAGACCCAGCTGTGCAAAGAACCGAGGCTGTAGTCGGGACCTTGAGATTATTATCTACAATGACAAAGTCAGCCCCCAGAGCCTGGGCTTCCTTGCAGGATATGGGTAAGAAATCAAGTATCTCCTGGGGGAGCTTGCCTGTTTGGAAAGGGCCCAGGTTGTCCTTAGAATGCCACAGAAGGGCTCAGCAGTGCTTATAAGGCTGGTAGTAGTTCTGAAGCTAGAACAAACCAAAAACCAGTGTCAGGGTTAGAAAAGCCCTAAGGGATCGAGTCCAGTTTCATCCATTTTATAGATGGGGGAAAAGGCCTAGAGAAAGGCACTGACTTTTCTAGTCACACAAAGGAAAAACCAAGAGAACTCAAGTCTCTGATCCTTAGAACTTTAAATTATCAAAGTTTAAAAGTGTATGGAGCTTTATGAAGAGACTCTATATTACATGTACATTCCCTAAGGGTAATGCTAAAAATGTTTATTGGTGGGAAGACCTTGGTTCAAATCTTTCCTCTCACACATATTGGCTGAGTGACCCTGGGCAGGTCACTTTAGTGCTCTCTTACATAACTTCCTAAGGCTGGGAGTTGCAGAGAAGGTCGTGACCTGCGTTGAGAGATTACTCACGAAGGAATTTTCCTACTCCAAAGAAATCACAGGTCTGAACAGCAAAAAAAAGTATCCCCCAAAACGTATCTACAAACACTGAGTGCCTAGGGAGCACCAGGCAGTGAACACAAACATAAATGAAGATGAGCAGAAGGTTGATATCCAAGTGTTCATTGTCATCTAGTGGAAAGAACCCTGAACTCCAGACCTGCTTATTCTACTCACCTGCTTTGGGCAAATCATTACACTTCTCGGGGGCCTCAATATATCTATCTACCCACAAAATAAGAAGAGTTCCACCCCTACCTTCCCCAGGATTTCATGAGCAAAAATGAGAGATGGGCTTTTTAGAAGGATGTGACAAAAACAGAAATTAGTATTGATCACAAAATTTAACTCTATTTAGCTTCAGTGGCAAGTATAAAGGGTTTTGTTGGGTGTTTTTGTTTGTCTTTAGAATTAACTGGATTGCTTGCATTTTGATTCTTCAGAAATTGTGGTGTTCCTAGATTCACAACATACAGCTTCCCAGAACATTTGTGGACTTTGTTGTTAAGTTAGGTGGTTACACCAGGGCAGCTTGGGACCATGGGAAGCACTGTGCAGTTTCCCAAGTGCAATCAATACATTCCTTTTTCTATCCAATTTTGGGCCTAATTCATTATCTTTCCGTAGCACTCCACCCCCCCCCCCCAATTTCAAGAAGTAGGTTTGTATGATAGTGTTGGACTTGGAGTCAGGAGAGACCTGGGTTCAAATCCCGCTTCTGAAACTTGTGAACAAGTCCTTTAAAACTATAAATTATAGATGGACAGAGATCCCCGTCAACAGACGGAGTTGAAATAAAATAATTATAACAAGAGCTAGATTGTCCCCAATCACATAGTAAAGGCCTTTTTTGCTTTCTCCCTGTCTCCCTCACAGTATTGTTGGGCTGTACGTCTCTGTTGTCATGGTTATTGCTAAATTCATCCGGGAACACTTCAATGGCATCTCCCGATCCATCATGTATGAGGAGCTCCCCAACGTGGACCGCATCCTCAAGCTTTGCACTGACATTTTCCTGGTCAGGGAAATGGGTGACCTTGAGCAGGAGGAGCAGCTCTTCTCCAAGCTCATCTTTCTGTATCGTTCCCCAGAGACCATGATCAAGTGGACCCGAGAGGCCCAGCCCCCTCCCCAGCAGCCTGTGGATCAATGATTTGGGTCCTGGCAATCATGCAAGACCACATGCAGATACCCTCCCCCACACTCACCTGCATTCCTTGCTAAAGCCTAGCTCTCAGTGCACAAAGAACAAATCCCTCATCGCTGATCACCCAGCAGTCTGCCTAGCCCTGTGGCCCTGCCCTGCTGGCAGGTAGCCTCGGCCAAAGCTGAAGCAAGGAAAGCGCTCCTCTGATGCTGTAACTGTTACTAACATGGGCAGCAGGCGAAGGTGACATGTAGGAGCATTTTGTCTTTCAATGGTTTTTGTTACTAGAGGAAAGTCTGGCTATTGCTGCATGTGCCAGTGGATGGCCCGGGACAGTCTGACAGACCGCACAGCCTGAGTGACTGGCAGCAATCACTCCTCTCTTGGGACACAGACTTGCAGGTCCCCACTCTTGGGCATGGCGGCTAATCAGGTGGTCTTGAAATCTTTCCTACTGTTATTTAACTCCTCATGTGGGTGCTAGCTCAATTAGACTGTAAGCTCTATGAGGGGCAGGAAGTTTTTTTAAACTACATTATAGTACAACTGAGAAACCAGTTGTTCAATAAATTGTGTTGATGAACAAAGGAAGAGTCACTTTTCTCTCTCATAAAAGGGAAACACCAAGAGTTTCAGAAGGGACATACTCTGCGCAGTGACCATACCCCTTGTCTACAAGATACACATAAGAAGAGGCCCACCATTCAAATCTCAGGCTGTAAAGGAAACCTGGCCTCTCCTCTTCCCTCCCTCAGTGAGCCAGGTCAGATTCAAGCTTTATCAGCATCCAGCAGAAGGGCTATTGGTACAATTCCATGTCTGCCTCAGCTCCTTGAAGAGAAAGGCTACTCCCATGGGATGCCAGCCTCTCCACATCCAAACTGAGCTCTCCTTTACTGACCTTCCTCAGGTAGCTCTATGATTAGCAGCGAGGCTGACTAGGTAGTAGGACCATGGCTTCCAGAAGCAGAGGGAACTCCATATTACTGAAGACTGTGTCATCTAAGCCCAAATGAGGCTGAGAAGGCTTTTTCCCCACTAGGGGCAAAATAATTAACAGCTCATATTTACATGGGGATTTAAGGTGTGCTAAGTGCTATAGATAGATAGATAATGTCTCTATTTACCTACCTTTCATTTGACCCTCACAAGAAATCTATGTATTAGATGCTATTATCCCCTTCTTATAGATGAGGAAAAGAAGGCTCAGAGTTATCTCAGGGCCATAGATTCAGAGCTGGAAGAGTTCTTAGAAGCCATCTTGTCCTTTATTTTACAGATGAAGAAATCAAGGCATGGAGATGTTAAATGACTTGAAAAGTCACAATAAGTGGCAGAATGGGATTGGAACCCAAGTCTTCTGACTCCAAACCCCAAAGCTCTTTCTACTGTACCACACCCTCTCTTGATGTCCAAGTTCACACAGCTAGTATGTAGGCATGATTCAAACTCAGGTCTTCCTGGCTTCAAGTTCAGGAAACTCTCTCCTATGCTATGCTGCTTCTCAGAAATCAGGCAGATTTGGGGCACAATAAGAAGCCTCAAACAGCAGATCTGAACTAACTTCTGGCAGGAACTGACTAATACTGGCAGAATTATTGAATCTTCAAAGGGTTAACTGAGCTCGACCTTTTGGGCCCAGTGGTTTTCTTTTATATCTGTAATCCTAACTACCTAGTCTCCAAAGGAAGAAAGTTGTAAGAACTTAAAATGAGCAGATCACATCCTCTAGCAAACTTTACCATGAACATACATCTTGTAACCTGCTCTACAGATTCTCTCTAAACCAGTAACTGAAGTTCGTGTTGAGAAATGAAGCTAAACAGACTAGCCCTGAACTTTCATGTTTGTGTTTTCCATACTCAGACCAATAAGGAAAAATCAAAGAAAGTACTGTACCAGGAACCAAGACTTAGGTTTCAGTACTGGCTTTGCCACGAGACAATGCTGTAAGCCACTCCTCTGTGCCCCAGGCCTGTGTCCTTGGCTGTAAAATGCAGGTGAGGGGCTAGTCAGTCTAAGTCTGACATCCCATAATTCTCAGAAAGGAATGAGGGGGCTGGTAGAAGACACAAATCAGTTCTGAGCACCTACTCTTTGTAGTCAATGGTATTTTCAGAGTCTCATTTTCCAAGAGGACCCAATTCTTCTAGGATTCTTAACACTTCCATCATATGTAAGTCCATCCATATGAGTCCTCCATTCATGCAGAGGTATATAGCCCATCCATAGTTAGTAAATGGTTTGGCTAGCAGAGCTACTTTGGACAAAAAGTATATCCCTGGTGGAGATTCTTAGTAGGACTGGTCTTTGGAGTGCAGACGCTCCATTCACCATACCCATATACTAAGCTTTTCCATTTTGCTAGTACCTACCAGAGCTTGTTCTCTGATGACATATAGTCCTGGAGAGCCCAGGGTCACCCCTACAGCAATATGATAAAAAGACAAAAAGAAAAAAAATTAAAAAATCACTCAGAGAGGGATGATGCACTTGGATTTAATAAAATCTTAAGTAAATTATAAGTAGCCAGAGCAAAAGAATCCTTTCACTCTGTAGATGAAATTGATTCTCAAGTCTGGATCCATCATAGTTAATATTTTCTGTCCTTCCAAAGGGAAGCACTAGCTGAAGACGTGGCCTGGCCTAGGGTCTGTGCACCTTTTCTCTGGGCAGCAGGAAGGTGAGAGACCTGCAGCCAGCAGTGGAGGCTATGATGTGCTGGGCGTTGGGACTGCTGATGCTACAGAGATGCAGCCAGGGTAGCTCCTTCTTCCTGCCTGCATTTTGAGAAGCAGAAGCTTCCTCAAGAACCTGAGTCAGATGACCTCATGGCAGTACAGTGAATAATCCTCTGCTTTATAGGACCACAGACAGGCTGAAGTGATGCTGTGAGGTCACAGTGAAGGTCATGCTCTTCTTCTGTTCTTGGGATTTAGTGAAGTTTGCAAAAGCCAAGGGAGCCGAATTGTTAGGTAACTGTGCGAACCAGCATCTCACAAAAAAACAAGCCCAAACAACCCCTGACCCTCCCTTCCCTCCCTCCTAACCCCCAAACCTCTTAAAAAGTAGGAAGGAGCAATTTCATCATCATGACAGTAAAAAAATTCCAATTTCTAATGCGAAATCTTGCAGTTGCTTAAAATTAATCAGTGCAAAGTGAGGTAAAAGACCCTACAGGTGTGTGGGCCCTGGGGGTGGGCTAAGGTGGAAGAGGATCACACTAGGCGCCGCCTTTTGCAGTCTCTTTCCATGTCTCCCTGAGGGTCTGCATCTTCACCCAAAGGAGACACCATGTTCAGCAGTGGATCTTCAGAGGCTCCACCAAAGAGAGATAGCAAGAGGGCCACACCATAGCCTGTAGCTCGCTCCCCCTAGAAGCAAACCATGACACAACTGAATAGAACACAAAGGAGCATTTTTCTATAAGTATCATGAGGAAGGCAGTGATTCTGCTGCTGCTGTTGAGAATCAAGTCACAATGTAAGCATAAACCAATTTTAAGTTTTCTTTGGATTATCTACAACTATTTTTCTACGGGCACGAAAATCCAGAGTTGGCTATAGTAGGTTTATGGCAAAAGGCTTCCTTCAAGCATTACCATCCTCTACTGGGCAAAGAAAATTGAACTCACTTGTGTCCACATCACTTCCTATCCCTAGCATTCTGCTGGGCTGGGAATATTGGGGGGGGGGGGGAATGATGTTAGGGGCCCCCTAACACATTGAGGATCACACAACTGAGATGTCCCAGGGTAGGGACACAGATCATATGCCAATTGTTCTGTTCTAGGGAGACTCAATTCTGGTGCAAACCACCCACAATGACAGTTTGAGCCACTCTGAGTGAGTCTAAGGGCACAACATGCTTCTGGTTAACCTGAACCACAGCCAAAGAGCCAGAAAACACCCCAAGAGTATGGAAGAAAAAAGTCTTGGCTGAAAGCAATATGGGTTTTGCCTGAAATGTAAATGTAGGAGAGTTGAAGAAACATCTTTAAAAATCAATCAAGAGGCAGGAAGAGAAAGCAATGACAAACATATAACAATGAGGAGTAATTTAGGGAGAAAGGGCCTAAGACAGGGATGGGGAACCTGTGGCCTTGAGGTCATATGAAGCCCTCTAGGTCTTCAAGTGCGGCCCTTTGCCTGAATCTAAACTTCACAGAACAAATCCTTTTATTAAGGGGATTTGTTCCGTGAAGTTTGGATTGTGAAAGGGCTGTACTTGAGGACCTAGAGAGCCACATGTGGCCTTGAGGTTGCAGGTTTCCCACCCCTGGACTCTAGGAGAGCAGGATAGGAAGAGAATTTCCAGATACTCACTGCATGCACTGGGGAAGCAATATCCAGGTGGACCCATACACCAGGCCAGTCAAAGCCAATATGGGAGGCAATGAAGAGGCCAGCACAGGAGCTGGGGCTGTTGTCTCGGTCCTGGGAAGAGTTTAAGATGTTACACTTTGCAGAGAGGTCTTACTGGTCTGCAGAAGGGAGGTGAGAATTTACAAAAGGCCTCATTATTCTTAAACCTGATCAGCTGCAGAAAGTGAGAGTGACAGCTTTCTGGACCTGTTCTATAGCTCCAGAGCTGAAAGCTGCCTTGCTCACTTTCAGGGGGCATGGGTACTATTGTCTTGGTAAATTCATGCCACAGTAACCAAAGAATCAAAAGGTTGGGTCTCCAGGAACACAAAGCTCCTATGCATTAAAAACAGTTTTACTGATCACTTACAATGTGCAGAGCACCAGGCTGGGGAGTGGGGAGAGGGGAGAATACAAACAATCCCAACACAGAGTCCCTACCCTTGAGTACATGGTCTGGCTGGAGAGACAAGACACATATGCAAAGACACACAAATCTTTAATCCAAGACATACCACATGGTAGTGTGTGAAAATTCCAGCTTTGCTGTTCACTGTGGTCACATCAGAATCCCTATTTCCCACACTCCCATTTCTCTTTGCTTCTGACCCTTCCCTGAATCTGGAGTATCTTCCCCCCACTTATCATTCAAAACAAGGTGCCTTAACCCCAGTCACTATGCTTCCTGCCCACTCTCTGGCCATCCCTGCTGCCAAGCAACGCCCAAAGCCCCCCATCCGCCCATGCCCAACTCCTGTTCCCCTACTAGTTCTTGGAACCATGATCAAATCACCTCTGCTGATTCCAGACAGGATGGGTCAATTTACTTCCCTATAGCTCCAGTTCCTGTTCCTGTAACTTTCCTGGCCAGGGTGTCTCCCCCTGACAACTACTCTCCTTGTGTTGTCTCCCCCATTAGAATGTAAACTCCTTGAGAGCAGGGACTGTTTTTCCTTTTGTGTTTGTATCTTCAGCACTTTGTGTAGTGCTTAGCACACAGGAAGCACTTAAAAGTGTTCATTCATTTATTCACGCACAGAACCAGTTTCTCTTCAGTGCACCATCCTTTACACACTCAATCTAACTTGCTGTCTTCTCTGTCTTCTAAGTGTTCTCATGTCTTTTTCAGGAACACATGGACGTACAGTTGTGTACTCGCACTCCTCAAGAGTGGAAGCAGTGGCTTCCCTTTTCTGTGCATCTATCCCCTTTTATCTTACTTAGCTCAGACACTGTGGTAGCCTTGCTTAAGTCTCAATCAATGTTGCTAATTTGATTAAGATTCTGAAAGTGAACCTACCGCCACTGAGTTCTTCATATCTGCAACAGC